CCCTTCTCTTCCTTTCTCTCTCTTTTAAGTTTGCTGTGGAAGGGGGGGGGGGGAGGCAAGAGCCATTCCCCCCCCCCCGATCCCAACTTGTTGGGGGGGGGGGGAACAGCATGGGAGGCAAGGCCCTTTCGGCCCCCGATCTCCTTCTTTCCCCTTTTCTTTTCTTCTTCCTTTCCCTTTGTCTCTTCTTTCCCTTTCCCTTATTTTCCTTCCTTCTTTCTCTCTCTCTCTCTTTTGCTGAGAGGGGGGGGGGGGGGAGTGGCAAAGGCCTTTCGCCCCCGACCTCCTTCTTTTCCCCTTTTCTTTTCTTCTTCCTCTTCTTCCTTTCCCTTCTATTCCTTCCTTCTCTCTCTCTCTCTCTTTTTGTTTGCTGAGGGACCGGGGGAGGGCAGGCGAAGGCCTTTCGCCCCCGATCCACACCGCATTGGTGGGAAAAATCACAATTGATCTCCTGTCCCTTTCTTTTATTTCCTTTTCCCTTCTCTTCCTTTCTCTCTCTTTTAAGTTTGCTGTGAAAGGGGGGAGGCAGGAGCCATTTGCCACCCCCCCCCCCGATCCCCAACTTGTTGGAGGGAAAACTGCAACTGATATCCCCCTTCTTTTCTTTCCTTCCCTTTATCTCCTCTTTTGCGGAGCAAGCACATACTGTGTCACTGCACTGAACTAGATTATACATGTTTATATATATATATATATATTCACAATCCTAGACAGAAATAACCGTCTGTATGGGTCATTTCTTTAATAAAACTGACATTTGTTGACATTCCCCAGTGGAACAACCAACGATATAGAGAGTCTGAAGCTTTTGGTCTATCACAATCCATGCTTTGATAATTCTGCCCAGATTCTGCCCAAAGTAAACAAAAAAGCGCCCAAATTAAAAAAAAAAAAAAGCCCCCTAACCCCCACGCCAATTTACGCTCCACCTGATCGTTAATACTCCACTTTGAAAAACGTTCCGCGGGGCCTGCATGTGTATACGAGTGTGGTGGTGATGCAAATTTTTCTTCTGCCCCCCAAACGTTTTTGCTCATTACGCCATTACCCCTGAAAGGTGAGCCCCCATGAATGTTTGCCCCCCCCCCCCCATCCCCTACAGCTAAGGTACTTTGAGCCTTGAGGATGTCATTTTTTTGTTCACATTTTTTCCATCAATGATTTCATTTCATGTGTTTAATCACAGTGTTCATGCAAGACCTTTATAATGTTACAACAGAGATAGGTTTCAATGTGCTACCTTTTCTCTTTTCATTCATGGGCAGGTCCAAGCTATTGTCCCCTCTGGGGGTCAAATTTCATCTTTATATATATTTAACAAACTATACCTCATTTTAAAGCTGAAACTATGAATTTTATGAATCTGATAAAAAAAATTAAAAAATTATCAAAATACGAAGAGCGCCAAGGTCACAAACTTAGATTTGTATAAATTAGCGTGACGTACGGGACATTACATTTTTATTTTTGTATCTCATTTGAATTATTTGTTTAAAATTAAATATCTCAGGACATGAAGACCATCATGCTAAAACTTTCAAAATTAATTAATTATGCAAATGAGGTAGGTTCCAAAGTGTGATGTCCCGTACGTCACAATTTGATCATAATTTGTTTAATTTTAATTATGAAAATAATTTTTTTTTTGAAAGATATTCTAGGAAGTTCTAATTTAGATGAATACCTAAAAAAAAATAGGTTTCACAAAAATTTCAAAAATTCTGTGTTGATTACATAATCAAATTAAGAAATGTGACGTACGGGACAAGTGTGTGACGTACGGGACAACCCCATATAAAACCAATGCAAGATGTGAAAAAGGAAATGACCAAAAGGAGAATATATAATGTGTTAGGAAACTTGTTGTATACAGGGATATATGAACATTCCAACTGGGTCCCTTCTAGGAATTTACTTGTTTGTACTTTTGTTGTTGTTTTATGTAATTGTTGTTAATGTAATTAGTCTTCAAGCCAGACCCCTGGTATTATCAACTGTGGTATTTTGCCAGTTGATGTCCCCAACATTGGCAGGATGCTAAATATGTAAATCATAATAGTGTACTAGTTCCTGGAATGAGTCTAATGAAATTATATGGTAGTGGATGCACCAGAAGCTGGCTTTTACAACTCATAGATGCTGCAGGTAAGAATAGCACATGTTCTATCAAGCTCTCCATGTGAGGTTTTTTGATATTTTATTTAAATGTCATATATGATGGTAAAGGATTACAGCATACACTGTACATGTTATGGAGCCAGCTCGGGAATTATGATCTCCTAAAAACTAAATCATAACTTTTAAGGAAGAATAGCCTTTTTGAGTATTTCACACTCTCACCCACTTAAGATTTTTATCACTTTTACACCCATGCATTTTTGTTGATTTTGCTTTAAATTAATCTTTTGAATTGTGAAAAAGGTCACACAAACCTTTAGGGTTTTAATTTCTTATATCTGGTGGTGTTAATAAGATGTTTTAATCAGTACAAAATACATTCAAGATTTATATTTTTGTATCCATCTTTCACAAACATGTAGGCTACATTAATGTACATCAAAATTCTTGAATATATGACAGCAACATATACATGTTCTAATCTGTGATAAAAGGATATAAAAAAGACAATATGTCCAGCATTATCTTTGAATTCCTTCAACATTCTATGATATTACTATCAAGTAATTGAAACAAGCTATGAAGAAAAGACTTCATATTTTTAATGTATCTTTGTTCACAAACACTTAAAGCATAATAAATGTTCTTTGACAAAATATGATGTGCCGAGTGTGCCCCTGTGTTTCAAACAAGTTTAAATAAAACTTTTCAATTTCAAGTTCATCTTCTTCATTAATTGTTATTTAAAAACATTTTGCAATGTTGAATGGAATGGATAAAAGAAATGAGAAAAGAAGCATGACTGCACATGATAGATGGGTAAATGGAATAAAAATGGTAATGTAGTGTGTATGAATATTAATTCAATTTATTTTCTTTGTTAAAGTAATATTTGTATTGATTTACCTCATAAATTAACACAGATGATATTAAGTGATGGTCAGAGGATCTAATTGGGTTCTAAAACACTCTAATTGTCACTGATTTAAGTTAAAATTGTTCACATTTAACAAATTTTGACGAAAATTCTTCATTTCAATGCATTTTCCCATAGGGAAAAGTTGTCCCGTACGTCACATGCACACATTTATGTTTTGGTATATTACATAATAACGAAAGGTCAGAAAAATATGGTAATAGTTGTGATTAATTCTTGATTCCATAATGAATTAAGATATCATTACCATAAATCTCATAACTTACTAAATTCAGAGAACTTTTATGATGAACTTTTTTTTGAAAAAGTCAGAAATTCTCTGGTCCCGTACGTCACGCAGCACATTAATTACATTAAAAATTAATTTATGAATTGGTCAGAACTAAAACTTTCCACAAATGAACTAGCCCATAATAGCCACAGACTCATACCAAAAGATAGTCATATAAATAATGTCATCCATTGTTATTTCTTGTTTAAAGTCTCTGAATGTCCCGTACGTCACAAAGCAAATAGCTTGGACCTGCCCTCATCAGACCCCATCTGCTGGAGGTGCGACTGGGGATCAAAGGAACTGCTTCGTCGAACGTCCATTTGTAGTAGTCTAGGTCCATGACCGAGCGCGTAGCCAGGATTTCATTTTAGGGGGGCGGTAGTGAGCATGCGAAGCGTGCAAATCACTTAAAGAGCGCGCATAGCGCACTCCCTAGGGGGTGGGGGTGGGTGCAGGGAGGGGGGAGTTCTTTGAAAGAAGACGATTCGTTGTACCTTTCTCGACTCATAATCCTTGTCTGAATTCCGTCCGCCCCTCCTGCGCATAGCGCGGAAACTTTGACGTATTATTAGACGAAGAAGACGATTCGTTGTACCTTCCTCGAATCTCGACCCTTAATCCTTATCTGTATTCGTAAGTTTTGACGTTTCATTTATTTATTAGAGAAAGAAGACGATTCGAGGTACCGTTCTCCACTCTTAATCCTTATCTGAATTCAGTTTCTTCCCCTCCCGCGCAAACTTTGAAGTTTCATTAAATTATTAGAGAAAGAAGACGACTCAAAGTACCGTTCTCAACTCTTAATCCTTGTCTGAATTCAGTCCTCCTCCCCCCTCCTCCTGCGCGAAGCGCGAAAGCTTTGACGTATTATTAGACAAAGAAGACGATTCGTTTTACCTTTCCCGACCCTTAATCCTTATCTGTATTCAGTCCCCCTCTTTCAAAGCGCGGAAGCTTTGACGTTTCATTAAATTATTAGAGAAAGAAGACGATTCATTGTACCTTTCCCTTTTTCTTCCTACATGTAAGTCCTCTTACTTTTTTTTCTTCTCTTTCTCTCTCTCTTTTTTTTTTTTGGCCGGGGTTTTTGGGGGGCGACTGCCCCCCCCCCCCCCCCCCCCCCCCCCCCCCCCCGGCTATGCGCCTGTCCATGACTACACTCAGCTCAACTAGACAACAGCATTCTTCCTGGGCAGCGTCTCACGGAAGTACAAGTTCACCGACACCGTTTAACCGTTTAACATGCGTTTCAATGGGATGTCGTTTAAAACACCATTTTAAATGGTTTCAAAGTTACCATAACTTTCTTGGGTATGATCTCGTGGCTAAAAATGATTACTATTAAATCTAAGCTGTACTTATGACAGTTTCATGAAACGCTGCCCAGATTCTGTACACAATGTCAAAACAAATTACGATTTACGAGAATGATGTGTCAACAATAGAAGGTTGACAAATGTGAAATAGGTAGGTATTTAAGATTAAGAAAGATATCCCATACTTTCCAGATGGTAATTTTCTGTGCCTATATTCAATATTGGTTTTGGAATTGGAAACCACGCGTTTGTCCACATGCACAAGCTTGTGTGTAGAGTCTATGGCGGTGGTGGGAAGAAGAAGGAAACAAAATAATGTATGTGAAATCATGTATTCATGTCTAGTCTCACTCACCTCTCTGGTGAAATGCAGTGCTAACTAGCTACAGTGTATGTGGATCGGATCGGTGCAATGGTGGTTTCCTGTACTTTTCACGAAAGTGTCATTTCCGTCTACAACTTGGCCTTGGGCAGCTTGGATAATGGAAATCAAGATTCTACGTCAATATTCTAGTAGTGAGAATGTATAGTACCAACCGTAATGCCACGCCCTTTAAACTGTAGTATTCTGGTAATTCGAGAGAAAGGGGGAAGTTGTCAGGAAGAATGCACTACCAGAACACGAGGACACGACTCGAAGTTGTAGGATATGAGCGGAATTTTATTTCCCACTTGAGCTATCTGCATAAAGTTTGATACAAGAAGAAAAACCTCTGCAAAGGCAGAAAAGAAACAACAAAAGAAAGAACTTCAGTAACTACTTGTTCAAAATCTCTTCATGTAACAATTTAGATTCAACAATAAATATACATCACTTAAAAACCAAGTCAATGATACTTCAATATACATCGAGTGAGTAATTCAATGTAAAAGAAGAAAAATGTATTTCTTATCATTCCAAAATATTCCCTCTAGCTATAGGTGAAATATGACGAATCAATTTCTTCACTGAAAGTATATGAATACAGGTCACTAAAATATGAAAGCATCAACTCTAAGATTAACATCAGAATAATCCCCTGAAATATGCATAGTCATGGATAATCATTCTAATTAATGTACGTTGACTGCCTACCTACGATTCATTATAGCACATTGTTATCAACACCTGAAACAGAAGTAATATAACAAGCAGTGTTCGTGTTCATCACTTTCTACCATCCTGACTTACCCAACTAGGACTGCTAAACAACTACTTATTGCTACGAAGACAAACAATGGAACCAGCTTCCTCAACTCAAACGCTGGAATCTAGAACAAAGACAATATCACTACTTGCCATGAATCACTAGTTAACTATACCATCAAATTGTTATTATAAAAAAATTATAATGCGATAATCTAATCATAACAATTTAAATCCTATTTATGAACGTAAAAATGCATCAAGTATATCAATTCACAGTAACTCCAGGAAGTTCCAACACCGGCGCAGGTGTTAGAGCTTCCTGGAGTTAGGGGTTCAACAGATGTCGAGGTGACTGATTGACCAGGTTTTGGATTGAGAAATAGTTCTGGTGCTTGTTGGAGGTATGACAAATTAAAGCATTTGTTTACATTTTTATATATCTGTTATCTAGATTTCTTAATATTTAATGTTGGAAGTTGAAGTAATAATTGTCATTTTACTTAACTTTTGATTCATTTGTTTGAGTATTTGATTTAATTAGTTCAGTTATTCTATAATGAAGAGTGACAATTTTAGTAGAGTATAGATACCACATTATTCATCTGTGTATTGATATACGGTCATTTTCACGGTAAAGGGTGTAACTTTGAAATTTGGACATTTTTTTCTCTAGTGATCTCATAAAGCTACAGAATTCAAAGATATTTTGGCATATGAGTAACCTACTTGGGTGCTACCTTGGGTAGCATAAACTTCTTCAGGGATTACTTCGTTAAATTTTGGCAGGCACATAAGTACCCTAAATGTGACCCTTTTGATGTACACAAAATACATAGACATTTTTGTAAAGCCCTGCATTTTTTTCAGGAACAGTGAGGATTGTTTTTGTTATGCAGAATGTGAAGTTAGATGTTCAATGTAAAGTGCCAAAGAAGTTTAAACTGTGACGGCTCCTCTATTTTAGAGAACAGAGTGTTGTTATTTGTCGTTTCGGAGACTTCATTTTCCGTTAACAAACTTCATGGGAAGAGCTCTGGTTTGAAAAGTGCTTTCTACCATTTCATTTGTTCTTGATATAACACTTGATAGAATTTTTTAAAAGCTTGACTGAGACGAGCCATTTTTTCGTTAGCTGAATTGAAGCCTCCTAAACAAACTATTCAGACAGCTTGTACAAATATGAATATAGGAAGTTATCCAATCATTATATCAAAATGTAGCATTAGAACCCCTAAATCACTTGTCAATAAATAGCTGAGATATTCCTCACTGTTACGGAATAACAGACAATACAAACTTTCCGTTAGCACTTGAAGCCTCCGAAACACTTGAAGCCTCCGAAACAGCAAAAAGATTATTTTTCATTTTTTAAATACCTAGACCAATGTGTTTCATGTTAAATCTGCATGGCAATCATATGTTAGGATGTGCAGGCTCCCTTGAAGTTGAAAGTAAATAGATATCCAGTTAATTTTTTTCAAGACTTACTAATAACCAAAAAAACTTGTTTTGGAGGCTTCAAACTGTAGTTAAAGATAAACTTTAGTACTGGTAATGCAATTGCATTGTGAAAGAAAAGGTGTGGAAAGGATCAGAAACAGTAGATCATGTAGCATGTAAGTATTGGTGTGCACTGCAAGGTTCTGGAGTCATCAAAATCATAATAAATTTGACCGAGTCTTGGTAAAGTAACAAGCACTCACATAGAAAGCTATATATGGGACAATACACATGGTGTCGGGGCTAGTACTACCTTGATTTCCTTGTCTTTCTATGCTCATTACTCAGCCAGTATACATTTTCTTCCAAAATTGTTTGGCACATGTCATTTATTTGTAATCTTGAACATTCAGTGTAAGTTTCGTTTGATTCTGTGAGAATTTTTTTTTTTTTTTTTACCAGTACTGGAGTTTATCTTTAACACCATATTTTTGGCTATTGTGGTTTTATAGATAGGGGTTTGTTTACAGTTTTCCTATTTTATGTTTGGTTTTGGTCTAATAAAGTACAGGAATGTGTTAGATGTTATTGGCTTTTTGTATTTTTAATGATTTACAAGTAGTCAGTATTTCAGAAAGAAATTTTACACCAGTAATAGGAGTATTCACCTGTTTCAAACCTTGATAATGTAAGAATCATTCACCTAATAATAAAAAAGTTAATACATATAAATCTTCCAAGCTTTATGAATATTTTAATATATAAAGTATTAAAATGAATCACTATATTTTCCCAAATTATAAGACATTCATAATATTTATCTAATTTGTTTCGGAGGCTTCATTTAGTGTTAACCACATGTATCATGGTCTTTGCCAACCCCTTAGGATCAAATGGCATAGGCCATGCCATCCAAGGACCATTTGTAACAGTAGGAGAGAAATTTGGTGGGTAAAGAACCCTCTAGAAATGTTAGGGAAGCAGTGTGTACAACCCCTTTTAAGACAATGGAATAATAATAATAATATTCGGTTCTTGTGTAGCATATATTGAACGTCTCTATGCGCTTCCAAATTTGGAAATTATTACCCCGGCTTTAGCATGGCTTCCATTACGGCGCTTAAGCTTTTCAAGGAATTAATTCCTGCCAGGTATTCAATTAACCTCACCTGGGTCAAGTGTGGCAAATGTAGATTAATGTCTTGCCAAAGGACATTAGTGCCGCAGCAGGACTCGAACTGCGGACCTTGTCCACGACAATAGACCATGAAGATCATGAAGATAATGACAAGGTTACAGCAACATGTGCTAGCAACATCTGATACTAGATAGCATCCCTTCCAGACAGGCATGAACACTGCAGACAGTTCTCTCATTTCCTTACTGTTATCCACAAGAATATAGAGGTAAGAACTGTATATTTTGTCCTTAAATTACTTAACTTGTACTTTTTTTTAAATGGGTTATTGTAATGGAACTGATGTGTGAAAGTTTTTAAAGTTTGGATTTGTCACTAAAAATATAGTGAGGCCTAGTTACGATCTGTATTGTACATTGTACATGTACCTTTATCATAATCAATGTTTGTAGTTTTAAAGATCGGGTGACATCCAAATATAGTTTGATTCCTGTTGATGTGCAGCCTAGAAAAATGCTCCAAATCTCATTCATCTTGTGACATCATCTGTAAATCATTAGTGAGCTAACAAGAGACAGTGGTACATGTACAGGGTGTATGTATAATAGCATATAAACATAAACCAACTTATATTTGGATGTCACCTGACCCCATAAGGTTTGCCTCAGTACCAAATGTTTAAATTAGACTCCTGATATACAGTGTACATGTGTGTACATAATATACATGTACAGGTCTATGGCTATGCACAATGGTAAACCAGTAACAATGAATGGAATCCTCAGACATATTACAATTTTGAACAGATTAAAACAAGTCTGTCATTAATTAGTACTTAAAGATTTGTGTAATGTACACATTAAGCATCCTTAGTGATGGTGCCCATATAGACTACTGAACTAATTCTTAAACAACACATGGATAAATAATAAAATATTATGTAATGCACATGCAAATATACATTCAAGATGTACTTCTAAAATAAATAAAAAATGATTGTTTTTAGTGTCCAAGCTCAGATATAATTTCCTATTTTCTTCTCCAATTACAGGATCAATGTGAGCGATTATGTGGCCATATATTTTGATGCACCTTCATCTAGCAGTAGGACTACAAATGGGGTGGTTTTCATGGCTCTTGTAGACTTGTAAGTATTACCCATGTTAGATCTCGGATTATTAAAAAAATATTTAACAGGATCAACTTTCTTTATTTGAGAAATACTTAGACATAAAGATTTTTCTAAAATGTATATGAGCAGGTGTTGTGGTACTGAACAAAGTTAACAGGGTGAATTAAATAATATAAGGGACTGTGAAATATTTCAAGGAAGTGAAATGGATTCTGAAGCTGTTTTTCTGTGTTTTAATGAAAGTTTGTATTTGCTATATTCTTATTTTGCTACTAGGTAAAAGCTGTGATTGATGACAATGTCAAAGTTAAATTCATACGCCGGAACAGCAATGGTCTGTATGAATTTACAGAGGACTGTGAAGCCCATCAGCCTAAAAAGATGTAATACAGAAGATGACTCTACCAACCAGGACCCCAGCCGACATAGCTTACCTTTATAATTTTTAAGAACGAGAACTGGACATGTTGGCAGATAAATTTCTTTGAAATAAGAAGTCGAACACAATTGTGTTCTAGGACAAAAACCTGTAAATACTTACCATGCTATTGGTTTCAAATATATGAATGTCTGTGTAAATGTTATAACACATACCAAACAAGTTTGTGGATGCCACTGTGCAGAAATGTAATACTTTGCACTAAGAATAAATGATGACAAAGACGCAAGTGAAGGGTAATGATACATTGCTATGAATTAACATAAATGGTTTCTATGTGAACAATTATTTTAAGTACTTTACTTTCAGTTCAACATTTTATCAAAACTTCAAAAGTAAGTTTAAATTTCGCCTTTGTAGTTGACAATATAGTGTGTTAACATGTTTGAAGTCTCCGAAACACTACTTGAACTGATCCTATACTGTACATGTATATGTTCCCTGAATGTTTCAACTTTGATATGAGAAAAGTGGTTTCCCTTGAAATTACATACTGGACAATATATTTCAGCACAGATCAGCACAGATTTGAAATCCTCGTGGATTCTATTAAGTGACTTTGCAATGTTTGCGTACTGAACAAAAAGCTCATTGTATTAAGTAAAGATAATTTGTAACATACGTACATGTACCGTACTGTATATTAACAAGTATTTTTACTCTGTAAACACATGTTTTAGGTGTTATATTAGTAATTTACTAATTTAACATATCATTAACATTTTAAGTTGAATTTTTCTTAATATGTTACCTAAGTAATGGACAACATTTTATGTTAACATGATTGAAGCCTCCGAAACAGGCATTATTGTTAACCTGAAGCCTCCGAAACACACACATAAGAAATTTTCAACTTCCTCATTTGAAATGCGATTTCTTTGGAATTTGCATTGTAATTACATGTAGCCCTCACTGAATGGTATTTGTAGAATAATTTTTATTTTGCTCCCCCTCTTGGAAGATAGGTAAATTTTAAAAATTAAATGTCAAATTCATATTTTGTCTTGAATTTGACAAACGCATTGAATTTTTTTAAAGACCAAATAAGTTTGACCAAAAAAGCTTTATAAGCCTTCAAGTAAATTAGAATAGCAAATGAAAAATTGCAATTGAATTATGTTCGGAGAACAAATGTTGTCATTTAAGTTGATAGAATTAAAATGTTGTTTTTGTTCAAATTTATCATATTTGTCACAGTTGTTCATTATTTTTCCAGGTTTCTCATGTAGTTTAAGCTCCAGAACCAAAAAAAATCCATAATTTAGACATTTATTGAAATAATTTTAGTAGAAATGATTATGAAAACATATTTTAAAATTTTGACCCTGTTTGAGAAAAGTTACACCCTTTACTGTGAAAATGACCATACTTGATGCATTTTTACGTTCATACATGTAAATAGGATTTAAATTGTTGTGATTAGATTATCGCATTATGTTTTGATAATAACAATTTGATGGTATAGTTAACTAGTTATTCATGTCAAGTAGTGATATTGTCTTTGTTCTAGATTCCAGCGTTTGAGTTGAGGAAGCTGGTTCTATTGTTTGTCTTCGTAGCAACAAGTAGTTGTTTACCCAATAAACAAAATCACATGAAAATCACGTCAATATCAAGGTATCGACTTGAGATTTCTCTCTCCCTCTACAGTAAGTGCCATATCGTTTGACTTTGGCGATCATGCTGTTCCACAACCCTCGGCTCCTAGCCTTCTGTATTAGTACCACTCCCAGTACTTTCACTCCTCTCTCTTCCAACAATTTCTGCAGACTGTCCATCCAAAGTATCCTCCTTCTTCCCCTACTTTTCCTAGACCCTGTCAAAGCAAGATTCTCTAGGCCTTCTTTACATGTAATGTGACCCATGAACTTCAACTGCCTAATCAACATCTCATGTATCATTTTTCTTTGCACTCCAGCTTGTGTAAGAACTTCCTCATACTACATGTTGTAACTTTGTCAGTCCAGGGGATTCTCATCATTCTTCTTCAAAACCACATATCGCAACTTTCCAAATGCTTTTTAGTATCAGAGGCTTAAAGGTAATACAAAGTTTTGGGAAATTTTGAAATTGGGTGGATGGTGAGTCTTTACAATTTTGATATGTTTGGATGCCCCCGTGGATGTATTATAAGCACTTAAAAAATTAGCCCCTAAAACACTTCTGTTTTCGAGAAAAATTGAATATAACAATTTACCGGTGCTCCCGGTAAATTTTGATATATTTCAAATAGCGCCTATGGCTGTACAATGGTACATGTAGCTGCGACCATGAAAATCTCAGAATATGTAGTTGGGATATATAATTTCCAAACGGGAAAAGCTAATCGGCCGATTTTAGTCAAGAAACATTGTTTCATAGCTCGTTTAGCCAGCTCTCTTTTGCCTCATTACACTTCTGCCTAATTTGTTTGTCTAGGTCCCTATATTTCTTGCATTGTCTATTTCCAATTTTCTGTCCATCTCTAATCATTAAAAGAATCTCCTCTGTCATCCATTTGTTCCTTCTTTTTCTCTCTTTTATCGGCACATACTCTTCCGCTGTTTCTACCAGAATATTTCTCATCGTCTCCCACATGTTTTAATCACCTTCATCTATGAGCAACTCAAACCTATTCTTTACTTGTACAGTAGATCTTGAGGAGATTTACGTTCTCCAAACACCTGACATTTACGTAAATTTGTTAATACGTTTATTGCACTAGGTCACTTAAAACACACATACACTAAATCACGCAATTGTCACTGCAAAACGACCATAATAACGTGATTATCCCTACACTGTACCTTAGAGAACATGGTTTGTAAACCTAATACTCCTGTTTTTGTTTGGTTATGAAATTACATCTTCATAAACGAAATTATCACATTCTGTTGCAAATGGAAATATGCCAACAGTCACGGAATTATCACCACGGAACTTAAATGGTAACTGTGAAACCATCAAGACACCCAAGAACAACTCATATTTCACACCTAAAAAATCACGGATTTACACCTAAGATTAATAATCAGTTTGAGTCACGAGATCATCACCACGGAACTTATGGTAACTTTGACCACCATTTAAAAAGGTGTTTTCAGACACCTAAGAAATACTAATTTTTCACGCCTGGAAATCACGGATGCCCAGCTTATATTAATAATCCGTTTAAGTCACAAGATCATTACCGCGGAACTTATGGCAACTTTGACTAACATTTAAATAGGTGTTTTAAGACACCTAATAATTACCGGTACTAATTTTTCACACCTAAATATCACAGATTCACAGCTTAGATAAGTAATTAGCTTGAGCCACGTGATCATAACCAAGAAAGTTATGGTAACTTTGAAACCATTTAAAGAGGTGTGTACTGTGTAAGACACCACAGAATTACTACTTTAATATAACCAGGGATTCACAGACAGAACAATAAGATGATTAGCCAGTGTAAGTTACGTGATTATTACCATCAAACTTGGATAACTTGTGAAACCAATCGATAAAGGTGCTTAAAAGACCAAATAATTATTTATTTATCACCACCATAGGTTAACGGACAAAAAAATCTTGTTGCTTGGTCAAGTGGTTATTTGGTCATAAACACTTGATTTACAGAGGTAAGTGGAATCACGTTACTCCAGTCACATGATAAATTGGTGGTTTTTAGGTGCGATGAAAACGCGAACAGGAGTACGTACCTTTAAATTTAAAAAAAAGGCACGTGTCGATAATGTTTAAATCTAGTTCAAAAGGCACTATACTTTAAAATCACTTAAAATACACTCCCAAAAGAGGTTATTTTTTAGTGTTCTGTTTATTGGGTAGCAGTCCTAGTTGGGTGAGTCAGGATGGTAGAGCGTGATAAATAGTTTTGGACACGAACACTGCTTGTTATATCTGTTTCAGGTGTTGATAACAATGTGCAATAATGAATCGTAGGTAGGCAGTCAACATACATTAATTAGAATGAATATCCATGACTATGCATATTTCAGTGGATTATTCTGATGTTAATCTTAGAGTTGATGCTTTCATATTTTAGTGACCTGTATTCATATACTTTCAGTGAAGAAATTGATTCGTCATATTTCACCTATAGCTGAGGGAATATTTTGGAATGATAAGAAATACATTTTTCTTCTTTTACATTGAATTACTCACTCGATGTATATTGAAGTATCATTGACTTGGTTTTTAAGTGATGTACATTTATTGTTGACCCTCAATTGTTACATGAAGAGATTTTGAACACGTATTTACTTAAGTTCTTTCTTTTGTTGTTTCTTTTCTGCCTTTGCAGAGGTTTTTCCTTCTTGTATCAAACTTTATGCAGATAGCTCAAGTGGGAAATAAAATTCTGCTCATATCCTACAACTTTGAGTCATGTCCTAATTGTGTTCTGATAGTGCATACTTCCTGACAACCGCCCCCCCCCCTTCTCTCGAATTACCAGAATACTACAGTTTAAAGGGCGTGGCGCCGGTGTTGGAGTTATTGAACCCCTAGCTCCATCCACGAAAGGAACTCTTGGATGAATAATACACCAACTCCTAATAAACTCTACTCTCTAGTAATAAAAGTATGATATAATTTATATCAGGCACCAACACCAATCTACTGAAATAAGTAGACTCCTACATGTATGTCTAACTAATACTGCACCATAAACCCATCCCATGGAGGCTGCCATCTTATTTGTTTACAATGGAGTAGGCCTACCCCCCTTATTTGAGAATATTGCTTACACAGCTGCACAACACAGTCTTGACTGACTTTAACCCAAACATATCTATCTACCAGGCAGTAGGGCCTAATCAAATCCCTCCAAACTTCACTCAGTGCACTCCATATCACAACTAAATAACACTTAGCTATATGAGTACAGTAAATGTGTATTTACACTCATCAACATTATAATAAACATAAGATTCTCTGCCTTTAATACATCGTTTACAAAGCTACTACTACAACCAAAGAGATACCCTCCTTGCTACAACCAGAAGACGCAGGGTCATTCATGCACACAAACTACATGCAGGCCTATTTACATTGTGTATTGTACTAGGCCACACATTGTATGTGCTCTAAACAGTGATGCGATCCATTCACTATTAATACTTAATTTTCCTTCATTCTTTCTACTCAATATCAATAATAACATGACTAAATTCCTTATTCTATACTATAACAAAATTCAATTAACATACCTCGACAGAAACATGAAGTATTCTGGATACTCTACTGCGAAACTCTGATTGCCAATCAGCTCTTCTAACCGAGTTAGTTGAACAATGCCCTAAACTTTCTGTAGACGTACAATACCACTGATCTCTACGATATATACGTACGTACAAGAAAGTTTCTTCCCAAACTGCCTAATCACTCTCTTAATATCCTTCCGCATAAATCAATTATGTAGTCTTTCTGCAACCTGACTATTTCTAAACAAAGGTATGTTTGATAAAACATACCATCAATAACCTACATTTCCATAAACAATCCAGATTCAGTATATTTACAACTCTCTCAATTTGGACTATTTAGTATGTGGATTTTGAATATGCGTAATGAGGCAAAGTACACAGGCCCCTCTCTGTCTAGTCTAAGGTGACCTTAAAAGTAAAATCAAGTTTTTCTCGCTATACCACAAAACTATGCCTCGAAAAGAACCGTGCATCAATTTAAAATGCACATGACACCCCCTCTAGACATTAGTGCTTCTAAGCGATGTATGGACACCAATTCTGAGATTCCCGTGTAGTAGAAGTAGCGGGTGCGCGCGCTCATTACCTCACGGGGAATCCCCTAAAATGTTTGCTCTTATCATTTTGAGAGCACACAATCGCTTGGGAGAGAGTAATAGCCCGGGCCAGGAGCCAGGGGGGGGGGGGGGGGGGGATCAACCTAGCTGGAACGGAAAACTTTTTTTTCAGTTAAATAATAATTGACAACACGTACATAATTACAGTATTAGGCAAATATAGTTTTATGTCATTTATAAAGTATACGGTGTATATTTATAGAAGTCCTGAAGATAAAGGATGTTTATTATTGTGCATATACTATTAACATTCTTGGATTTCATGCAGCTTGTGTGGGTGACAAAAGTTGGTATGTAGAATTTAAATTAGCCTAGCTTGCATAAAAGTTACAAAACACTATTTATTGACTTGCTGAAAAGGTTAAGCTTTGCATCTCTGGCTTGGTATTTTGACTAAGAATTGAAGAGTGTTTATTCATTTGAAGAGTTAAACTCGGAAAGGCTTGCTGTAGTGCAGGTGTGGATTACAGATGTAAATTACAGATATTTTATTTTGTATAAAGTGTGATCTCTAGATTATTACTGGGAAAAACCTTTGCCACTGTGGTTAAAAAAAATCTTGACTGCATAGTTTTAGAGCAAGTCAGATGATATTTAAGTTTAATTCATCAAACAGTGTTTAATTGAAAGAAGACATTTTATAAGACAGTTTTTTATAGGCGAGCAGAAATATGGAAATTATGTGCCTGTCAAAGTCAGTGGAAGGTCATACAATACATTTAAAGTGACAATCCAATACTGATGTTTTTAGCACGAATTTATGATATGCAAATAGATGTGAATAAACATGCTTGTGTATGGAGACAAGATAGAGATGTTAAACAGTTATTTTGGTTTATGCAAATTGGCAGTAATCTGTTTAAAGGAAAGTCAGGTCAGTTTGAGAAACTCTCAAAATATGGGTTTATCAAAGTAGGCCTAATGCATATTAGAAAATGCATAAGGTTTTGTAGCCATTGGTTACTCTGATTTTTTGTTAGTTAAAGGACGAGGTCAAGATTGACAGTTTACAAAAGCAAAATGTGTTTAAATGAATCTTTATAGATACAGTTAGTTGGTTTATTCAGATATTTTATATTATATCATGCATTCTTGTGAAACATGAATGATGTACTAAATCTGTCATTGTTATTTCATCCGTTTTTACAGATCGGAAAAAAAAAGCTTAACAGCTTTGTATCTCCATTTACAGCTGGACTCCCAAACTTTATTTGTCCCTTTCTTCAACTATTCAGCTGTGATGTACGTTTACACATTTGATATGTACAAATCAAAATATGAAATCCTTCCTTGGAAGTTAGTGCAATCAATTCATTTCATTCAAGTCTACACAGAAACTGGAAAGCTGGGGGCGTTTCATGAAACAATTAGTCGGTGGTTTTCACCGACTAATATCATTTTTACCAACAAATCTATTGTCACTGACTATTTTCAAGGCCTCTGATTGGTCAAATTTAGTCAGCGCTGACAGTTATCGGTTGACAAATGTTGATGAAACGCCCCCCCCCCCCCATTTGATTGCTTCATGATTTCATATTCCTTTCAGGGGCTACTTTACTTAATATGTGAAAGACATACCTTTGGGATCATGATTCAGAATTGAAACATACATGAAAGTATGTCGAGCAAGTGTACTCTTGTGGATTGTAATAATTAAATTATTGCACTTTTATATGTGTGTCTATACTCTGTGTACAATTGTATTAAATTTGTGCAATGGGGAGTGTGATTGTGTAAACTGAACAAGAGTGTCTAGGTAGAGACCATTTCACAAATTCAAGCAATTCAGAATTGCATTTGAACGTCTCCAAATTCATACATTTAGGATTGATAGATATAGCAGCATCATCAACCTGTGATTCTACTCCTGGCTTTATAGATACAATACACTGTGAATGATTCAGTCTCTCATGAACATGTAGCATTGGGGGGGGGGGGGGGGAGGGAGTTTCCCTTGAATAAAATACATTTGTTAACTGGTCAATTCTATTTGATATAGGCCAATTAGAGACATGGGGTTGGGCAGTCGGGGTGAGAAGGTGATATAAAGAAGAGAAATTTAGCAATGAAGCTAGGGAGCAAATACTGAGAGAGATAGAGAGAGAGAGAGAAAGAGGGGGTGAGAGAGAGCTCGAGGTAGAGATAGAGTTGGGGTGGGAGAGAGAGGTAACAAAGAATGAGAGAGTGAGGGAGATTAAGGTAGTTGATAGTGTTACAGAAATTGGATGCTCGAACGATTAAAAAGGGATGTCTGAATTGGAGACTAGCTTTAATTTGGGCGAGGTTTTTGGGAGTGTGTAAAAGTTTGGAGCTGAGGCCGAGGTAGTTTTGAGACAGACAGATTTTGTGAGAACTATATAGAGTTAGGAGCTGGGAGGATGTTGCTCGGGAGCATCATCAATTAGCCAAAGGGCAAGAACTAGTATAAATGTGAGTTGAGTGTAACTGTTATTAGGTTGTGGCAAGTAAATATATTGGATATCACCACCATGTTTCTTGTGAATAAACATCAGTTACTTAAAAATCATTGTTCGATAACTCCTTTCTCTCAGAGACTGTAATTGTATGTGTGTATGACTTGGCCCTGGCCTTGCGTGAGCATTAATTTAGGCTAGACTAAACATCTACCCCTGCAGTCTTTAAATTCCCCATTTTCTTATAAAAGAATTCCCAAAAGTTATTACAATAGGGATGGGGAAAAGGGGGAGGTCATGAGAAAGGAGAGTAGACAGTGACAGGATTAGAATGAGATTGAGGGATGTCATGGAGAGCAGAAGGAGGAGGTAAAAAAGAGTTTAAATTTGAGATTTGGAGTGAGGATTACAGAATGGAAGAGGAGCTATGAAATTACAGAAGAAAAGAAGGTCAGGATAGCTGCTGCGATGGGAGGCCATACGCGTACAGGGGGTGGATATGTATTATTATATTCATAATTCTGCAATACTTGTTAATTGCATGAAACAGCAAATTGCCAAATATCATGGATTCAAACCATGCCAAATATCATGGATTCAAACCACTGGTGCTCTCAAATAATGAACATTACAAAGCCCACCCCCCCCCCCCTTCTTCATTCCTCGCCCTCCTTAGCATGCAATGTTGGCAGTTTTCTTTAAGATTCGGCCTGGGTCGACGCCCCTTTCTTTAAAAATAAAATTTGTTTTGCATGCACACAATCAGTCTTTGCCTGTCCACATTTGTTCATATACAAGACTAATATTTATGCTATACATGTATAGGAGGTCGTTGTTATTATGCGAGGGAATTTTGCAACCAATAAAGAAGACATCAATTTTGGAGTACGGCTGAAACTATGATTTAGAGAGCACCTGTAAGAGCCAAATTATGGTATTTCCTGTGGTCCATGAAAAGAAGCACTGACACAGCTTCTCGGCACAAGACCTCAAAGATTACTATTCCAAACGCCATTTGTTATAAATCATCCAACTATAACTGTGGGAAGTCATTTACAACATTCGTCGTTTTGAGTACAGGTTTATACTTTTTGTTTGTACATGTCTATTGTATCTCGTCTGGTATGTTATATTCTATTCTCCCCACCCCCCCCCCCCCCTCTCTCTCTCTCTCTCTTCTTCTTCTTTCTCTTCTATTTTCATCTCTCAACTATCTTCCCTTTTATCTCTTTTCCCCCTCGGGCTTTCTCTCTCCCTTCTTCTTTATCCTCTGTTTTCATACCATTCTCCCCCTCGCTCTGGTTCTTCTTCTTCTTTCTCTTCTATTTTCACCTCTCAACTATCTTTCTCTTTATCCTCTCTTTATACCTTCCTTAATATTTATCTTCTGTTTTATATCTCTTCCTCTCTGGCTTTCTCTCTCCCTTCTTATTTTTTCTCATCTATTTTCATCCCATCCTCCCTCGCTTTAAATACAGCTTAAACAAAGAGAATAACGTAACACACATTGCAAGATTCCACTTCTCTTTCCCATATTTAGGTGTACTGCACACAAACTGGCAAATCATCACAACTTGAGTAATAATGGAAACAATCATTACAAAATAGACATAAATGAAAATATATTTATAATAGAGTACCCGGTATACATTTATTAGATGTAATGGTTAAAACACTGTACAGGAGCTATGGGTGTTTACACTTTATTCACATACAAAAATATACATTCTTATATATATTTGCAAAAATACATTAAGATATAGAAGACGTTTGTGGAAAGACGTGAATGAATGCAATGTGATTCCTCAGCTGAGAACAGTATACATGTATATATATATATATATATATATATATTTACATAGTCAATACATTCCAGATATCAATAACGCATTACAGCAGTCCTGCAAATCGATGAACATTGGAAATATAACAAAAAGAGGAACTCACACTTTGCTTTTAGATGATTCCAGATTTTATCAAGGCAAGAACAACAATGCCTTAAATAAAAACAGCTCGAACAAAGAGAGTATAACGTAACGCACATTGCAAGATTCCACTTCTCTTTTCCATTGATAAGATGTAATGGTTTATACACTGTACAGGAGCAATGGATGTTTGGAACAAAACTTGAAAGAAATTGTCATGGTAGATAAGAATAAACTTTTGACAATTTATAAGATATCACATGGGTCCATATCCTATTCAGATTTACTGATCACAGACAAAATATAAACATAACTTACATTGCATCATTGTGATGGGAAATAGGCACACATTCTAATGACACTAAACAATACGACAATAATCCTGTAAATCGAGAGAAGTGTTCCATCAAACGCCATTTTCCAAACCATTTAATGGAGATTTCTCTCCGTCTTACTACCCCTGTCTTACTCCTCTCTGTCTTACTCTCTGTCTAACTACAACGACCATTGTATATGCAGGTCTCAAAAGAAGTCTAGATTGTAGGTACATCATTTGATCTTGATTAATTAGTTTAATACAAGAATATTATTACGAGGTCAAAATGACTAATTATTCTCTCTTGCTACATACATGATTTTGACAGGGAAGCCACAAATCTGACCATGCATGATGAGTTGAATACAAGAATACAAGAATATTAAAACGAGATAAGGTAGACTCTCCCTTAATCCTACAGCACTAACCTTTGCATTCATGCCACAGAATGAGCAAGATCAGGAGGGCGTTTCACAAAACTTGTCATCAGTGACAAATGACGGTTTTTGTTATAAGCTAGTGAAATCCTTGCTTCTGATTGGTCATCAACAGATTTGTCACTGGTTTGTGTCATTTGTCATTGAAAGAAGGCTTTGTGAAACGGGTCCCTGATCATGATTATGACAAGATCATGCTGACTAATTCTGCTTTGTTACTACATCAATAAATGTTACATGCATACATACATGTCACAAACTAGACTAGATTATATGAAAGAGAGGGTCATGATGAGTTGGATATATCCGTTCCGGGAAATGATATGATTTCAAAATACTTAAGAGTGCATGATATAAATAATAACAATTATAGCACAACATGTATAGTTCATATGGTTATATGGTTTGAATGAATGTGTAAGAGTACACAGAGAGTAGACAAACTGTTATTCTGTCACTCTATACACATAGCTACCAACCAATCCTATTGTGAAGGAATGAATCCTATTTTTTGGTCTTGAAGCTATTGTTTTGAACCCTAGATTCCTCTCTTTTTCTGGAATATTCTGTGTGTAAAGTTTACAAACTAGATTCTATTCCTAATTTTGCCTTGAGAGATGACTAATTTTTGCTGTGAAAGGTTGGCAGGGATGTATACATACTCCACAAAACAAAATCAAAGTTTACAACATTTTTCTTTCCCCGTCAAACTTAGTATGTTCATGACAGAAGACAGATTCTCAGGCTAACAACCTTGTAACAACATTTAAATGATGTATTGGCCCTACATGACATGTAGTTCAAGATATGGGAATAATTTTTCAATGCATAATTTCAACACAAATCCCACGTGTATGAATGCTCCATTTCCATTTGACTGAGCAGGAAAAAAAAATGAAGAATTTGATTAAAAACTAGATGGATCTTTGACTGCGTGCAGTCGAAAATGATGCCTCCGCCATATAGCAATTTTACAAACCCAAAGGAAGCAATTTTTAAAATTCAAGTTTGATTGTAATTCATTAACAGGTTCTCAGAATATTGTGATTTCAAGCTATTTTTCATATACATGTATGACCATTTGATCTCGACCTCATGACCAAAATATCCAACCAGTTCATTGGCTCAGCACGATACATACATGTCTTGAGTTCAATGGTAATACGTCCATCGGTTCTAATGATAATGGGATCACAAACTATTTTTGCATACATAATGAGCCCCATGACCTTTGAACTTTGACCTCATGAGCCCAAAATTTAATTAGTTCATTGGCTCTGCAAGATATACATGCATGTCTTGAGTTTGATGGTAATCCGTCCATCAGTTCTAATAATAATGTGATTACACGCTATTTTTGTATACAAAATAAGCCATGTGACCTTTGACCTTGTGACCCCAAAATATAATCGGTTCATTGACTCTGCAAGATATATACATGAACCAAGTTTGGCAGGAACCAATTAATCGGTTCTTAGGATAACAAGATCACGAGAACGGGATGGACGGACAACCCGAAAACTTAAAAATAGATATATAAATTGGGCTATATTTACACACATATATATATGCATAGATATTTTATCATGTTCATGAACATCTTTTAAAAAAATGAAAATGTTCTCTACGTGACTATAACAATTAAAGTTAGAAAAATATATTCAATCTCAAAAGCAAAATTTTCTCGGGTACGACAGAAATAGGACTAAACCTTGTCTAGATCAAGTATACACTTTCTACACTCAATATTTTCATCAATCTTTCTTGATAATGGATGTATTGTTGGTTAAACAGGAAAATGTCAATACAAATTACTTTACCCGTAGTGAATTAAATAAATCCTGGTATACCGGAAAGCTCCTTTGAATTCTTACAGAATACATGTATCACCGTGATGAAGGATATATCAACTGAACCTTACGGATTAGATTCCTGATGACCTTGTTATGATTGTGCAATGTAATATATTATAATCATCATTACAGTATAGCCAATATGAGAGAACTCAAACCAGTTGGAGTTGTTATTAAACAATCAACAGAGAATTTGGATATGTTCAAATTCATTTCAGTTCAGTTCGGTTCATTTCATATTTCACATTTCAGGTTACACATTTTCAGCTTATGTACAAGAAATGTAATGATACTTGCAGTACAGACGTATTTTGAATACACGGAAGTTCATGAAGTATATCAAATCACTTCAATGTTTTTGTAGTTAGGCCTACTTATAAACTAAGGACTTCAGTAAAATTGAAAATGAGGACATGAAGAAGCCCAAGTTAAAACATAGCTTGTTTGTTGTAGGTTGTTTTGCATAGATTGATTTAAAGCCCCACTGCACTACTTGTAGCTACTTGCGCCCTCTATATAGCAAACCATGCCTAATCGGTGCCTGTTGGTCCCCTTTTTCTTATGTTAATGCTGATTTGATGAGTAACCACCTGTCAATGATCTTTCAGGGAGGTCTAATCCCTCCTGGCTAAACAAGTGTAGACAGGCTTTAACATAATAATCCATCTTCACCAGGAAGCCTCTTTTTTTATTATATTGAATGGTGAGGGCACACAGGGCGTCAAACCTTTGCTTACCTTGGAGCTCCATATGCCTCAACCATTATTATAAAGTTATTCATCACAAGTGTCAAGACAGGGTAAAATCAATAAGATACTGTATTCCATACATTTTAACTCTAATGATCCTTCAATTAGTATACTAGTAATTAGTTATTCGGGTAGCCTGGTTACATCCACATTCGACAGGTTTCATTTTCAAGGCCGTAGTAGTCTGCTGCCATCACGTGGTCTGATGAGGGTCACCTAGCTTCCAATGTGTACAAAACGTTGATATGTTGTTACTTGACGTTGTTGCTTGATGGTGCAACCACATATCACTCAAGCGTTATCTTCCCATTCAGCATCACTATATAAGAATACAAGATATAAAAACTAGGTGTAAATAAAAAGAATATAAAAAGTACCATTCAAAGAAACAATGGATGATTTGCTGTTAAATTTGGCAATTGTAATTTCTATAATATTGTGAATTTAATTAATAAAATAAAGCTTCCGGTCCGGAGATTGTAATTTTTATTTGTCAGATTTCATATATTTGTGTTAACGAATAGATTATTCAAAATCGTTTTTATAGAGATGTTTTGTTTGATTTCATTTAACCTTCAGTCAGAAACTAAAAGGTAAGGCTTTTTTATTACATTTTTTTTTTACCGTTTTTTTTAGAAAAAAATGTTTAATGAATAACAAAATATGTATTTTGTTTGTTTAAATGGGATATACAATTTAAAGTTATAAATGCATAAAATCATCAAATTATTCCACAATTCTCACTCGTTTTCTGCCCTAGTTTCGAAACCCTGCTAGCATAAGCAAGTAGATCGACCCCAGCCTCGTGTACGTGTATATACAATGCAATGAATTCAAACATTCATGTATTTGAATTGTTTAAATTTCTTGTCAGATTTGACTCATTTCAGACTCAAGAAAATGTACACTGGGAACAATCCCCAGAACTGAAGTAGGAATTGAGAGCCTATTCAATTAAATGGGCCAGTTTAAGTACAAACATTTGTAATATTATGGGCTATGATATGAACCTCTTGCATGCAAAACTGTCTGGCTTTTTTTTCTGTGTCAGTTTTGGTCCCTTCTTTGGTTAGTAAAGAGACCACTTTGTGCCCGGGACTACCTGTAAAATTTGTCAACAATCTTCACATTGCTACCAAGTTTTACAGGTAGTCGAAAACCAACTTTGTCAGCTGAGAAGCACAGAGTGTTCTCTCAAGACAACATTAATTGTAAACCATGGTTTATTACGAGGTGAAAAGATATGAATGGAATGATGTCGCTGAAACACATGTATTAAAGCATTCAAAACTGAGAAATATCAGCCCAAAGAGGGAGAAAAAAATCCAAAAAAACATTGACCAACCAACCCAGGTGCTGGCACCTAAAGGGCAATACTACATTTTTTTATTTCTAGGCCTAATGGATTCAATCATACATGTATATTCAAATTGGAGAGAAATTGATAATGATCAAATGCTAGGATATCATTTAGTAATACTAGAATTAGATTTAAATTGATAACATAGACCCTAATAATTCTAGAGTATTTGTAGACATATTAGTGAGGTATTTTTCCCAGAAAGGTACTACATGCATTACCTTTCAGGCAGGGAAGATCAATTGATATCATGATGTCACTATCATGACCAAGGTAGCAGGCAGAGGAAGAAAACACACAGACAGGCCTACACACGCTATCACCCATCTTAATGACATTATTTCTTCATGAAATGTTATTTGTTGTTTTTAATTACAGAAGTGAGAATATACAGGTTCATATTATACAAAAATGCAGGTCACAAACAACATTATTCATCTTTAAAGGTACTATGTCCCTTTTGCAGCCAACCTCAAATGCTGTAGAACTTTGCAGGAATTATGGATATGTCATGTATGTCCTATCTGTGAAATTTAAACGTTAGCAGTGTCCTCATATTCAAATTATGCAAGGAAACCCGTTTACTTGCTAGACTTCACTGTCAGACATTATTGAGTGACTGACTGGCTTTTTTTTCTTCTTTGGTAATAACATACATGAAAAGAGTTGTAAAGGGTACATGAGCATTTGTATACATCAATAACCCACTTCTTGTGATGGCCAAGATTAAACTGATTGAATCTTTGCGCAGCATAAAATGTATGACCATTCAGTACAATTGTCTGAAAATTAAGACTATTACTTTTGGGCTCTATAGCCCTAAAGTCGATTTGACAACTCATAGTCGTTATTTTCCCACTTGAAGACATTTTCAAGCCCCACTTTTTTTTAGGGAAGTTCTAAATTAGTATTATCTTTCAAATGCAGTTGGAATTTAACTTTTTCATTTTTTTGGCCTGCAAATGGGACATAGAACCTTTAACATGTTCTAGAAAAAAAATAGAACTCATGGATTATTGTAAGAAGCATGTTTTACCTATCTAACTTTTGTCACGTTGCTGAGTGGAGTTTAGTTTTGCTAAGATGCATGCTACATGATAATTTGAAACATTTCTTCAATTAGACCTATATATATATATGATAGGAGAAAATTTCAATCTTTTCATGAGAAATTAAGGTCATATCACTTTTTTTTAAAGAAGACAAAGTACAATGAGCATTTTTGCCTTATATATCATGCGCGTGAAGGAAAAGTACATTTTCACTAAAAAATGTCATATAGTTGTGAAGAGTCTTTTTCTCTATGTTTGTTATATTTCAGTTTTCATATATCATTACACAGATCAAGAACAAATCTATTGCTAGACGTGATCATTTAATCAACCAGAATTAACACATAAAAGACAGCTTATATTATGTGCATTGTTTATTCTTGGGTACCAATTGGGCAGAGTTAAATATGGATACCGGTAATTAAAAAAGTAGTCTACTTTGAATCGATGGAATGCCAGAAAAAGGGAGAAGAATCAATCGGAGGATGGCCATGTAATCTAGTGTTATATCTTACCGGACCATGCCTCACGATGACAGTCACCTTGCCTTCACTGTTCACCTCAGAAACCAGTGGATCCAGATCCTCGTCGGTAGCACACATATTCAACCTATAGTAATAAAACAGTACATTTCGGGGGCTCAATACATGATCTTTTGAACAAACCTGACGTACGATACTCTCTTAAAAAGCAATCAGAGATGTATGCTATGTGGTGTGAGAATAGATGACAATTACACATCCAACCTTGCATAATATTGCTCCGTTTTTATATTGCATGACTGCAAATAACCATGGTATCAACATTGTGTATGTAGGATACATCATGATGAATAAGATAAAGTATTGATTTACATTTATAATAAGAAAATCGTATTGATATGAATAAATCATTAAATCATTAAATCAAATTCAGTGACAATGACAATAGGTTGCTTGTTGTAGAGTATTTTGCCAATTCAACTTCCTTTTGATATCAAGAACCAACTGGGTTAAATCAACGCTAGTTTTCCTCTTTAGATCAAACATAATCAGGTATATCTCATCTGCATCAATATCGTGTAAGTGTACGGCATAAACATATGCTTACAGGTTTGTAACGTGCAGTAACAAACTTCAAACAATCTCTTTTACAAAGAGTCGTTGTATGATAGCGAAAGAGGCGATGATAAAGAGAGTAGAAGAGAGGAAATGCAGGTAAAAAAGTGGGAGGAAGGAATCAAAAGAGAACTTAGTAAAGAGAAAGGAAAATAACTAAACGAGAGGGACATAGAAAGAGCAGGGGGGGGGGGGTGTTACACCCACAAATGTAATAACGCCCACAAATGTAATAACACTTTACCCACAAATGTAATAACACTTTACCCACAAATGTAATAATTTCACCCACAAATGTAATACTAGTAACCACTTTACCCACAAATGTAATAATTTTGAATCACCCACAAATGTAATAATGACTTTACCCACAAATGTAATAAATTTGAAGTGATATTTTGTCGAATTTGTTCAAAAATAAAACCCTGTAATAAAGCATGGGTATAGCGCGCAGTCTTCACTCCAGACCCGGTTATTTCAAAAATTTAAAAAATCTTCAAAACTAAGACCCCATAATCCTTTTCCTGTGGAATAACATGAGAATCGAGCGTAGTCTTTCCTCCAGACCCGGTTATTCAAAAGTTAAAAAAAAAAAAAAAAAAAAAAAAAAAACTTTTAAACTAAGACCCCACCATCTTCCAAACTAAGACCCGGTAATAAAGCATGGGTTTAGAGCGTAGTTTTTCTTCCAGACCCGGTTATTTCAAAACTTTTTAAAAATCTTCAAAACTAAGACCCCGTCATCTTATTCATGTGGAAGAACTGTTGTTGTTGTTGTTTTAGTTTATAGGCGTTTTTCATTCAGAAGTGAATATTTACGCCTCTTCTCTTAGGATTTTTATTCCTTTAAAATTAGATTTACTTTTTTTGATATATAGATTTTGATAAATTGGATTTTTAAAAGCTAAACTTTTATTTAATGTTGAAGAATTCAGTGGCTGGCGAGCAGAAGGCTTATCGGCTATATAGGACGCCCAAGGACCAACTCGGACACGGTACGTTGTGACAAGCTTTTCAACTCAGCCTAATGCTGAGCCTAGGCCCTCCGACGTCCACCAATATGTCTAGTCGTCTCCACCGCGTTTCTTCAAAATTTTGTCTGAAAACCAATAAAAAATAGATCATGATACATGAAGATTTTAAACGTTAATATAGACAGTTCTATCTTCTAATTTTTTATTTTTTTTCCTTCTTTCTCACTCTTCTTCTTCATGTACATGTATTACTCACTATAAAAAGCGAAACATATTGGGCTCAAATAATTATGTGCGGTGCAAGGTGGTTAGTAGGGGTACATGTGTACCCTTTTAGTTCTAACTACGAAGTTAACTAGAGCCTGCTGGTGATTAATATCTGTTGATTTCAGGAGTATTGGGATTAATTCTTCGTTTTCTATTCCAGATTCTCTTATAAGCATGGCTCTCTCTATAAGAAAGAGTGGGCACTTACATAAAAAATGTTTAACTGTTTCTTTTTGGTGCTCACAGTTTGGACAATGACCGGTCTCATGTTGATTCATGAGTATTGAGTGTAGTCTTTCCTCCAGACCCGGTTATTCAAAAGTTTAAAAAAAACTTTTAAACTACCGGTAAGACCCCTCCATCTTCCAAATTAAGACCCGGTAGTTTTATATGGACGAATACTAAGTTACAGAAAGCCAGGTACATTTAGTATTTTGGCATCTTGTTCTCTTGTTTTTCCTAGCTTAGAAGAATTGTCACGTGTTAGGTTGTTTGCTTTTTATATGAAGTTCAGTTGATGTTATCAGGTTCAATATTGCCCAAATTGTAACCTTGTTTGCTTGTAAAAGACATGTGAGTTACTCCACTTTTTTATACATAATAATTATTTTGGTTCTGTTACCGTCTGTATATTAATGAAACAACCTCTTCATTTGTTTGGAATAAAATACTTTCTATCTTACAAAATCTATGTATCCATCATTGCATCACTATAAAACCATAACCTCTGCAATTTACTCACATTGATTGAGAGAGTATATAGATATTTTATCAGTCAAAGGGTTCTGCAATCGTTCATTCAAAACATGCAAATATGTTTCGCGTGATCTCGTTATACAGCTATTTATGATTTGTTATATGAAAGTATGCGTTGTTATTTGCTTGTTTACCGATTATCATTTCAGACTTGTTGTTATAGCTGCTTGAGTATTTCAGAAGTAGGAAAAACTGTAATATAAATGTGTTTTGTTTGTATTTGCCTTTGAATAAATTTTGTTCTCATGAATTCACACCGTGTACCGCGTACCAATTGGTAGTCTTCAGTATAAGTAATTGATACGTTCATCACATGAAGAAAGGTAATTCATTCACGCACTCATGAAAATATAACATCGCAATCCAACGTTTCAATGTCACTAATAGTGTACATATTATACAGTTATTGACTGGCAGGGGGTGTAATATAACATTCTTTGGACCTGAAGGGAGTTATATTTCCCAAGTGGTTATATTTTCCCGAAGCGCGCAGCGCTGAGGGAAAACATGGTCATTTTTTTTTTGCCCGAAATTTTAATTTTTTTCGGGGACAATCAAAATTACAGAAAATAATCTGTTGAGACAGTTCAAGAAAAGAAAAAAAAAATTATAAAAAAAAATGACCCTCGGTAATGGTGTAATGTGTGTAATTGGTGACATACAGCCCTCAAGAGGGCGACATGCATTGATTAAAAATATATTTATTTCACCAGCTGGTTAATATAACACCGAAAAGTGACCGGCCAGGAAAATATAACAATTTGGATCCTCGCAATTGATATCACGTGACGAGCTCTGGACCAATCACATCTCGGTATCTGTCTAAGCTATCTAATATATTTCATAATCACATGCATAAAACAATCGGCGTCAATATTTAAATACATTTAAGGTCACTTATTCGATAACTTTTTTTTCTACGAACATTGAATTCCAGGATATTTGTGGGCGTTAGAATATTTACATGATTAAAAAATCGTCGACGGTCAACGAACCATCGAATCGGCCCCTCCTCTGTGTGTTATATATATGGACCATTTTGACTGATTCGTCAGTTCGTGTGACCGCCGACCAATCATTTATTTGTGACGTGCTGTATCCACATATGTAATAATGTAATTTATTTTTAAATGAAAAAAAAAGAGGAATAAGATCGTGGGTCTTAGTTCGAAGATTTGTTTAAATTTCTATTGCTTTTGAAATAACCGGGTCTGGAGGAAAGACTACGCTCTATACCCATGTTATTCCACAGGAATGAGATGGTGAAGTCTTAGTTTGAAGATTTTTTTTTTTTAATAACCGAGTCTGAAGTAAAGACTACGCCCTAATCCCATGCTTTATTACCGGGTCTTAATTTGGAAGATGGAGGGGTCTAAGTTTAATTTTTTTTTTTTTTTTAATTAAAAAAAAACAAAAACTTTTGAATAACCGGGTCTGGAGGAAAGACTACGCTCAATACTCATGTTCTTCCACATGAATAAGATGACGGGGTCTTAGTTTTGAAGATTTTTAAAAAGTTTTGAAGTATCCGGGTCTGGAAGAAAAACTACGCTCTAAACCCATGCTTTATTACCGGGTCTTAGTTTGGAAGATGGTGGGGTCTTAGTTTAAAAGTTTTTTTTTTTTTTTTTTTTTTTTTACTTTTGAATAACCGGGTCTGGAGGAAAGACTACGCTCGATTCTCATGTTATTCAACAGGAAAAGGATTATGGGGTCTTAGTTTTGAAGATTTTTTAAATTTTTGAAATAACCGGGTCTGGAGTGAAGACTGCGCGCTATACCCATGCTTTATTACAGGGTTTTAGTTTTGAACAAATTCGACAAAATATCACTTCAAATTTATTACATTTGTGGGTAAAGTCATTATTACATTTGTGGGTAAAGTGGTTATTACATTTGTGGGTAAAGTGTTATTACATTTGTGGGTGTTATTACATTTGTGGGTAAAGTGTTATTACATTTTGTGGGCGTTATTACATTTGTGGGTGTAACAGGGGGTGAGAGAAAAGCAGCAAATGAAGAGAAGAAATTCAGAGTAAAAGGTAAACCAAAATGTGTTCCACAATAAATACAAGTAAGATTTTGATCATACTGTGGCATTCATTACCCTGGTAAATCAAATGAGACTCACTCTATGTTTGTCAGGTGTGGATGAGTCTTCATGAGTTGGATGATCTCGGCTGCCTTCTCGTTGTTCAGTCTAATGAAGGCAAAGGATAGCTTGGTGAGTCGAGGACATGATGTTTTAACCGCATCACAAAATGACTCAGGATCATTCAGTGTACTAGTAGACGATGTAAGCGACAGGGCTCCCTGGATGTCAAGGTGAGTTAGATGACGGAATGGAGAGCAGGCCATTGAGACGATTCCTGATGAGACATTCTCCCCTTTCTGGTAGTTCAGTTTGAGTTTTTTTACTCGGGGACATGATGTATGAAGTCCAAGATTCCACAGGCTGATCACATACTTACCATCCACAGAAAGCTCATCTACTGAGGATGTTTGACGAGTCTACAAGAAACAACGATGCAAAAAGGCTCACTATATATGATATGAATGGAAACCAACGCTGATGTAAGAAATGATATTGAATATCCAGACACATTATTGTTTTAATAATACTTTTACTGTTCATATCATGCATGGTAAATATTTCACAAATATACACTAATAAAACCTAAAGGATTTTCATCATTTTAATGTAAGTTGCCTAAGTAGAAATAAATAAATGGGTAGGTATTTAGAAAATGGACAAAGAATAAAAAATTGTGAACTTTGGGATGCTGAGATTATAAATGATATAAAGAATCTTCTATTGGCAGTCACATGCGATGCCGTTCCAGATGAACTACAACAATTTCTTTTTCCAAAATATTAAAAATACCTCTCTTTTTTCCATTTTAGAGATCCAGCAGATTATGTTCCATTAGGCCTAAACGTGTATTGCCCTCCATTTAAATATAGGTTTGTCTATCATAAGACTTTGGAAACCATATTTTTGGTATTTTGGATACAAAATATTAAGAGGATTTCTCCCTGTATGGCATAACACATCATGATCGCATTGGCAATATGAGTTGTTGTATATCATTAGCATTATCGACTTCCAAAATTTCTTAATGTTTTTATTCTTTGTCTGCTTTTTCTAAAACCTCTGTTAAAAGTTTTCTTTTCCTCTTTTACAGTGGAAGACGACAGAATTGGAGTATTCATTATCATCTTTTTTTATTGTGATATTAGTTCAGCTAAACTACCAAAAAAAATCAATCACATGACTTCACATAACTGAATTTACAAAGTTGATGATGAAGAAAATAAGCAACAGGATTCTCCACGGAAAATAACAAATGGCAATCAGTTATCAATCAATATTTAATGAGCTTTAACAAATATGTGCAATGTTAAACTTCATCCCAACATGACAAAACTATAACTGTGCATGAATATATATTTGATATATAAAACCATCCATCGATTTACTAACAGCCCATAGTATGACGTTTTAACTTGATTTCAAAACAAAATACATTATCCTTTTGGCAATTCCTTTAAATAGTCTCTTTGGTTTTTTCTGAACGCATTCCTTTTGAGCTTGGAACAAAAAGTTTGAATTAAATCTTGGAACAGTAAAGATACAAACCAGTGTCTCTCCATCGTCTATGTCAACTCGTCTGATACCCCTCAAGGTGAGTGACTGGAGGCGTGGTAGCGAGAGAATGGAGTGTACTCTTCGTGGAGTCATCATGGAGCCCCTCTGAATACTCAGCGTCTGGATCTGTGCAAAGATAATTTATCCGAATCAGTTCACATCAAAGTGAAATCCACGATGCGATCCAATTATTGTCTTTACTAACATAATTAAACACCTTTTTAAATCACAGCTAATATCAGATGAGTCTGCATCTCAGTATTGAACTTAATCATTCACCAAGTCTGATTATGTTGTCTCGATTTCTGCTATAGTTTAAATGAAACAATATACAGTATTATAATAAACGAGAAAGCATTTCAATATGCATGGCATGATCAATGTATTTCAAAAGAGGTACTTAAGCTATTGTATCGGTGGGAAGATATTACATCAAAATGATATCTTATGGGATCATGTCATTACAAATACAGCGTTTCCAGAAGGTTCAGAATCATGCAGCAAAGCTGATCTACTTGGCCGGTAAGCACGATCATGTCACCCTGTTGATAAAAGAACTACAATGGCTCCCAATCAAGCAACGCATTGCGTTCAAGATCCTGACGGTTGTCTACAAGTGCATCCAAAACAAAGCTCCAGTGTATCTCAACTCTCTCATCATACCCTACTAATCTGCTCGTCCTGGCCTTCGCTCTTGTACTGACAGCACCCTGCTACACGTTCCTCAAACATACACTAAAGCTGGCGACAATGCTTTCCAGGCATGTGCTCCTTGACTCTGGAATGAGCTTCCACGTTCTATTTGTTTATCACCTTTGCTGGATGTCTTCCGAAAATGCCTCAAAACTCTCTTCTTTGACAATGATCAACAATAGATTCTTTGCTAATTTATAGTTAAAGCGCTGTAAAACAACAGTTAGTTTGTAAGAGCGCTATAGAAATGTCTTAATTGTATTGTATTATCATATTTTTGTTTAGTTTTGTCCGTAGTTTTGTTGTTGTTTCTATTTTGGGTATGTTTTTTATTTCATTTTTTGTTTGTTGTTACAATCGGCTATAAACCAGGGACACACAAATAGAAAAGAGGGTCAATTTATTTCAGGAGGGAAATTTTCCTATCTTGGGAGGGGCACTTCGAAGGAGGCACTTCCTGTCGGAGGAAGGGCACATGTCTCAATTTCGCAAATTGTGGGATGATGTATCAAAACCTGACCTCGATCACGCCACCCTGTCGAAATGATACACATTTCTTTATTCCCATATATATATTTTTAAAAAGATGTGTTTGTCTTTGCATTATACCCGATTTCACTTTGACCATTGTTATCTAAAGAGAATTGAAGAATATAGCTATCATCACAAGAAAATAATGTGTAGTTCCAAAGAAAAATTCTAGAATGACTGAAAGTGAGAATCGATTTAATTTATATAATCATGACACTGAGGTCATTTCAATTCAAATGATTCACTTTCATGATTGACAGCATGGTCAGACTATTGTTTTATCATGAGCGTGATTTTTACAGTTAACCAAACATTATTTCGAAAAAAAGTGTGAAATAATATTGTGTTTAGTTTGGAGAATGCATTATATAAAATTATGAAGGAAATCATTACCAATAGAAGGGAGAGAGAAAGAGAGAGAGAGAGAAAGAGAGAACACCAAGGGACATTGCTGTGGTACGAGCAAAAAAATGACAAACAAATGTCTTAAACAGTTGAAAAGGAGACCATGTCTTGTCAAGCAAATTAAAATGTTATATCTGTCTATACATATTGTGCATTAATATCTTAATGGGACAATGAATAATCTACAGTTTTTTTTTCCACATTAAAAAGCAGAATACTAGGCCTATCTACAGGATATCATATGCGCTTAAAAACATGCGTTTATATCCGTCTATTTCAGAGGCGGCGGAGCGACTTCCAAAGTGGGGGGGGGGGCACCAACAAAAAAGGGCACTTTCTGGGGAAAAAAGGGCACCTACAAAGGGAAATCTCAAAAGCGAAAATATGCAATTTTTTTAGACATTGGTATATACCCCTAGAATTTAATTACATTATCAGGGATGATTTCAATATTTGTTTCTCTTTATACATCGTATACAATATTGCTTAAGCATCACACCTTGCAGTTGGGTGTGATGGTCGAAAGATTTATATGGGAGCGAGCAAAGCGAGCGAGGAAAAAAATTAAGGTTTGTGAGGTCGCAGTGCGAAAACTACATCTTATAAAGAGGAAAAAACCAATCCTCATCGGGTTATAATAATAAGCACATTCTTATAACAGCAAACTGAAAAGACCTTTGATAAGTAACATAATTATAACATCTATAAATGTGAGCGAGCGTAGCGAGCGAGCTTCGGGAGATATTGCTCTTAGTCGCTTGAAATTAGGGGCACGTTTAATGATGAGAGGAAAAGGGGAGACTTATCGAAGGGATAAGACACCTATTAGAAAATAAAAGGAGCACGTGTCTAAGTACAAAGGGTTATGATTAGAGGTGAAAATGGGCATTTGTCGACGGAAAAGAGGCAACCATCAGATTTTGATAGGGGCATTTATGAAAAAGGGATAGGTTCCTTATAAGAAAGGAAAAGGGGCACGTATCATTGTTAACAAGGTTAATTATCAGAGCTGAAAATGGGCACACACCTTATATGAAAGAGGCACTTATAAGAATGAAAAAGGGGCACTAATAATAAAGGAAAATGTGAATTTGTTGAAAGAAAAGGGGCACCGATCAGATTTTGATAGGGGCATTTATTTGAGGTGAAAGGGGGCTTTTATGAAAAAGCGAAGAGGCACTTATATGAAGGAAAAAAGAGCATTTATTAGGAAGGAAAAGGGGCACGTGTCAAAATAAAAAGGGGTGCTATTAGAGATGGAAAGAGCACTTATCAGGAGGAAAAGGGGGCACTTGTCGAAATAAAACGAGTATCTCTCAGAATTGAATAGGGTCATTTAAAAGACATGAAAATGGGCACTAGTATGAGAATGAAAAAGGACTATTTTCATAGGTGAAAAGGGGCACTTATTAGAAAGGAAAGGGGGCACATGTGAAAATATAAGGTGCGCTTATCCGAGTTAAATAGGGGTAGTTATTAAAAGGGAAAGGGGCACTTCTTACAAAGGAAAAGGGGCAATTGTCAAAGTAAAGGGGCACCTCTAAGATTTTAATAGGGCAATTATCAGAGGTGAAGGGGGCGCTTAACAAAAGTGAAAAGGGGCGCTTCTCGTACCCGAACAAGGGCACTTACTAGAGATTAAAAAGGGCACTTATGAGAATGGATAATAGACACTTATTGCAAAGAAAACTGGGAATTTGTCAGGGAAAAAAGGTACGTGTCAAAATAAAAGGGGCACATATCAGAGGTGGAAAGGGGAGGGGGCACTTTTAAAAATTAATAGGGGCACTTATCAAAGTAATAGGGGCACTTTTTATGTAAAAAGGGGCGCTTCTTAGAAAGTTAAAGGGGCACTTTTCCTATGGAAAAAGGGGCACTTTTGGGATATTTAAAAAAGTGGGGGGGGGGGCACTGTGCCCCCCTGCCCCCCCGGCTCCGCCGCCTCTGTATTTACAATGCACATTTAATATCAATTATTTGCGACTATTGACAAAATTTAAATAATTTCTAAAAATATGTGAAGTACTATTTGTAGGATACATGCTTTAAAAATAAGCATTTATATGAGTTGATATCATTATGACATTAAAAATGGGGGTGGTAAGAGCATTTAATGAAAGACAAGATGAATAAAAACAAACAAATGTGATGAATTATGATGTTACTTCTTTCTATCTAGGGTGTACATGTAATATCTCTTTCAGACTATTGACAACTAAAATTAATTTCTGGAAACAAAAAGCAACATTTTATTTATATGATACTGGGTACATGCTTAAAAAATATGCATGTATATAAATTGATATCAAAATGACACTAAAATCCAGTCTATTTACATGACTCGTGCTTCTTATTATCAGTATTGCAAGAGTTTTATTTTATTTGTTTTATATGACAAAAATAGTGACTATTGATAAAAAATAATTTATATTTTTGTTGTTAATGTGGAAAACATTTATCCACATATGTTCAGTTAAAAGATTGCAAAAACTGTTGGGGTAAAAACAAATCGTATTTGGGTATACCTTTGATTTTGATGCCTCAGAGGCCATCATTGAGTAGAACTCATCTCTCAGCTCCACATCGTGCAGCACCAGTGATTGAAGATGAGGCATGAAGCAGAGACCTCTCGCGTAATGAGAGGATGCAGCATAACCCAGATCTGCGTGACAGTGCGTTAGCTCCTCAATCTGATGTGACAGGACAGGTTGAACAGAGTGAATAGTATTATCACGTATCGACGACATGTCTAATTTAAATATTTTTTAATGTCATTAATGTAACATCATTAACCTCTACTTAGACTTTTGAAGCAAAGGAAAGAGAAAATGAGAGAGAGAGAGAGAGGGATAGACGAACAGACAGAGACAGAGATAGAGAGAAAAGGTCCAAAAGTGAAATGGGTGTGGTAAGAGAAAAGAAACACAAGATGAAGAAAGTCCAATGTGATAAGAATAGTTGGAAGAAAAAAAGAGAGTGTCTGTTCAAGCAGAATAAAGATTGTTATTTCTTTCCATCTACAGTGTACATGTAATATCTCCTTGAGACTATTGACAAACTATGAATAATTTCCTAAACCACACATTTATACAAATAATAATTTGTCACAATAAAGTCCAGTCTATTTCACGTGATTCATTTTCCTTCAAAGTCTACTTATTGCATGCTTTTTGAATTTTTCTTTCACCTTTATCAAATAGAAAGATAAAAGAGTGTGTTCTTCCATTCAAGTATAACAACTCAATAATATGAACAGATATTAATTAAATGTACGATAACAGAAGATAATAATGTGCGAGACGATGAGAACTTATTGATAATTGATAATCATTACATAATTGTTCTATTGTCATATGCCATATGAAAAATAAAGCAAACTGATTTATGATAATCAATAGTTCCTACTTGGCAATTTCTTTAAAGTAGAGAAACGAGGAAAATAAAGCAATATGGGGGGATATTGACAATGGCCGAGAGAGAAAGAGAGAAAGAGAGAGAGAGAGGGGGTGTGGTAAGAGCTAGAAAGAACGATGAGGTGAGAATGTGATAGATACATTATGTGCATTTGTGATACATACATTCAGAAAAATGGCAAAAGAGAGGGGACAGGGTCTGTTTGAGCAAATGAAACTTAATGCACTATTCACATACATGTACATGTATTATGAAATAAAATGTAATTTCAGATTCAAAGAAAAAACGGATCTTCAAATAATGAAAAAGAAATCATTATATTTCATACCCAATGCCGGAGTAAAATATTCAGAAATGAAATTTTCCCGAAGGAAGAAAAAGAAATTTCAGTTTACTGAGGAAATTATGCACAGCAGAAACATTCTTTCTCATTTTCTTATCTTATGAAGCTATTTTCATGTGAGTCTCTATGTATTCATTAGATACTCAGCTACCGGTATATAGATAATAGTCATAGTGTTTTACCTTCTCAATATGCATGACCTAATACAGTGAAGGTAAAGAAAATTTAAATTCCTTTTCAGGTTAATCTCATATTCGTTAATATTGTAGAAGAAAGTTGCGCAACAGTGCCTTTTCTCGTTTGCCAATTAATGTAGAATTTACTCGATATATTGTAAGAAAAGCCTAAAATGCGTCAGAAACAAAAACAGAAACAAAAACAGAAATCTTGGTGTGGGGGGGGGGGGACAAAAAATCAGAGCCAATGGTGATCCATTTATTTCAGCATGAAATTCACTTTTTGGACCCTCATTTACGTCGCCAGGGGTGGGGTAGGGCGGCGGACGACACTGTTTTATCCTCTCTTGTTAATTTGACAGTTACAGTTATATGATTTAAATACGATATAACTTGTTGAAAGTTATCAATATTGTAAAATCACTAGTACAGCTGTAAAAATGGAATTATGTTCAATCATGATCATAATTAGAGACCGACTTTCCCTCTAACATAAGAATAATGGTGTCCAGCTTTATCTCTTCGGCTATATATATTACAAGAGATGTGAATCCAGTTGCCCCTTCTCTTTATATTGAAAGTTTTGGCTTTTACATCACTAGAAAATTTGTGAGAACATTTTCACAATTCAAAAAGTTTCTGCCAATAATTTGACTACGGTACCTTCAATAATTCCCAAGTGAAATGAAAAAGCAATTTATTTTCTCTGTAAGACTGCCCCCTTGCCCTCTTTACATAGGCTAGTGCGAAGAGGCTGACGTACTATTATCTGGTACTGATAGGGAGGCTTGGCGCTACTGCCCCCTGTACAGGCCCCTTTCGCTCAAGAATTCAAAACATGTGGCGGGACCTGATGAAAACTGACAATATTTTGCGCAAAATAAGTGCAAACGGCATGCGTTTTGCAAGCGCTCGGTGTAGGGGGTACTACATGTAGCAACCTAGCGGGATGTGTACATAATGCAATGCTCTGATGTCCGACCAGCCGGCAGGACGCGTGCGCCGCAGCGGTGATTATGTATTATTGTTGCGTTTTGTTTCGTTGGCTGTTTGGAAGAATTTCAAGTGCAAATATATTCTCATACCCTACCCAGCCGCCTTTACAATAGGCTTACATACCATATCATGATTTTTCTTTCAAATCTGAGGGAAGATGGTTGAAATAGTACTGCAAAAAAATGCAGCAATTCTGGGTACACTATGGGATATATCCACTGGAGGTTTTTTGTAGTGGTCTCCCTACCAATGAATAATAATTAGAATATACCCATGGAGTTGATGTACTGTGAAATGTCTATGAAATAGAATAGCTGCATAGACTTCTTATTTCAGTGAAGGGTGGATGTAGCCCCCCCCCCCCCTGCTATCCATGCTAATGAGCGTGTGTGTGTATCAACTAGAATTCCGGTAGATGTGTAGGGGCGCACTGTGGGCAAGAGAAGGTGTGAAGGGAACATTTGTTCCTATCTAATCCTACATCCTAGAGTGCGTGGAGTGGTAATTACAGCCCATATAAACTTATATTCCTAATGGAAAATCGTCAACAAATTTTAACCTAAACAAACAATAAATATGAAGAAGAAGAAGAAAAAAGAAGAGAAAGAAGATGGTGAAATTTGTTTCTTCACAGACTTAGGGGGGGGGGCAAAGACTTTGACTGGGGTCACATTTTCCACCTCTGTCCAAAGCACCGCCAAATTGTGACAAATTAAGATAAAAATGACAAAGAAAGATACATATTTAAGATAAGTAAAAAGGAAAAGGAAGAGAGAGAGAGAGAGCAAGACCCTTTTACAAGCCTTTCATAATGCTTACCGGTAGATTCCCACCTTTGTGAAAAGCAGTGAACAAAGTTATGAGTGTGAATAACCAAATTTTGTTCATGATTGTATTTTTAAAAATTAAGCAACAAATAGGAGTATGCATCGATTAAGAAATAATGGTAGCTATGATTTAGGATTCATCGATATAATACAATAAATAGGCCCCTTATACCTTGGACTGTGAAGCTGCAGCAGACATTCCTGTGTAGAATTCATCATCCAGGCGCACGCTGTAAAAGTCCAACTTTCGTAAGTTCGGCAATGTGAAAAGGCCTACTGCTGCTACATGTGAAGATGATACGTTATCTTTGAAGGACTTGCTAACACCCAATGTTTCACGAATCGGAGAACTTCTTCTTACCTGTACAACAAATAGAACAAATATAATTTTAGCATTCGATCTGCAAATTTTATTTCCGATATATTTTTGTTTAAACTTTAAAGTAGTTTTGCGTGTGTCCATTTCTAGTTTACAGTTTAAAAAAAAAGAGAGACCATGGTGTATATTGTTTTCACCACAGACAGAAGGCGTGGATGTGTGTAAATACCATGGATATAAATATACCAAGACCAAGAAAAGAATGAATCAAATGTTTGAAAAATATAAATTGAATCAAATTTGAGTTACCGGTATACATAATCATAATGTGAATGTATGAAGTACATGAACGAACGATAACGATTATAAAGGCATATTCAAAATATAACATGACCTATATCAGATTTGTAGTTTGTTTGGTTGGGTGACCTATTTCCTGTGAAGGATGTGAGTGTGGGTGTGTGTGTTTCATTGCTCTAAAATTGCCATGTAATATTGTTTTCCTTCCTTTTTTTAAAGGAAAGTCAAGTTTTACACTTATATGAGGAAGAGGTAAACAATGATATGACTCTCGCTCTTGTATGAGACTATAACTACACATTGCAGTCTGCTACAATACCTAATAACAACAGGAGAACATGGCAGGTTCTAAATGATTGTCGGTCAGTAGAACAGAAAAAAACAGACAATGCATTGTGTAGGTCTCTTGTATTTGTATTTTCTTTGTAGCGAAATTTGCATATATAATCACTGGAGGCTCAACAGATGACAGTATTCCCTCAACATGATAACATTTCACAACTACATATCAATGAAAATGAGATATGTCTATAATTCTATTCACAGAACTTACCGGTACTACTTCTTTCCGTATTGACTCCAGTGTGAAGACCAGTGCAGCGATTGGATGAGTATAAGTGAACTTTAGTTGTGCCTTCGCCTTCAAAAGATTCCTGACGGGATCAATAGCTTCTGAATCATGACATTGAAAAGCAACCTGAATGATGAATGACATGTTATTGACTTTCTTGCATAGAGTTTCCAGGACCGACTTTCCTACTTCACCTCCATGAGCTGCAGTAAAGTACAAGACATATCTGAATTCCTTGTACTTTTTTATGAGAGTGTCTGCCAGGATTGTGTTGAATTTTTGACGATCTTTGTGGAACAGCGATGCAAGGTAGAAACTTGCTATGTACTCCTGGAGTAACTTATGAGGGAAAGAGAATTCTTTGATGAATTGCTTCAGCTGACTTTCTCTGATTTCCAAGGGTGCTGGTCTTTTTTCCATGCTAAGAATCCCGACCTCGCATGCAGTCCTTGCAGCTTCTGTGCATAAGCGAAACGTGTTTTCATCGAAGATGAGCTGTTTATCCAACAGACCTTGAAATGCGATACAACCAAGCTCTTTCATACTTTCAATAGCTTTTTTCATGCGGCTTCCATAGCCCTCTTCTAATTCATTTCGTTTGGAAGAGTATTGCTCTTGAAGTGAAAAGACAAGATGCTTCAAGAGTTGCGAGAATGTTTCCATTGTCTGAATATTTTCCCGCTCAGATGGCTTTTTCCACAGGCAACATAGCATACAGCAGAATATCGGGAAGGGTGCCATGTACTCAGAAACCACTTGGTTTGTGTTAATGAAGTTAATGAGGGTCCAAGCAGACTGAGAATCATCTTTGAAAAAGTTTTCAATATATGTTGCCATGTTTTCCTTTGTGAAGCCCTTAACCTTACCAAACGTGTAGTGGTCATTAATCGTCATGATGGTCTTGATCTGATCAGCTCCAAAAGGACGGGTTGTGATGACAACTGGAGTATCAATGAATCGATCTCCTCTTACGATCGATACGATAGCGTCATTGCAGTCTGGCTTTTTGATGTCAATATGTGCCTCATCTAGTCCATCCAATAAGATTAGGACTTTTCTCGGATTTTTCCTCACATATGCATCCACCCGTTCCCCTTCTATTTCTGAGTCATCTGGGAAATGCGCCATAACAGTATCCCCAAAGATTTTGCTCTCTTTAATCTCTCGAAATGATTCAAGAAAAAGCAGATTGATTTCTTGAAGAATTTTACCCTCAGCCCAATCAAGAGCTATCTTAGCAAACAGCGTCGATTTCCCCACACCAGCTTCTCCAGTGAAAGCTAATCGTGTTACAAAACCTTTCGGTGTGTCAGTTTTTATGAATTCAAACAACCCGTCATATTCTATTGGCTTCTCCTTATCCCCTTCTAATCCCAACATTAGGACGAGATCGACATAGATGTGCTGAAGCCATGTCCGTGACTGAGTGTCCACAGGTGATGTTTTGATCTCACCAAATTTCTTGCGATATCTTCTTTTCAGTTGTTCTCTTAACTTCATCATTTCACTTGGCATCGCCTCATCGTCACCTGAGGAAAAAGAGAAGAGCATTATTGCAAGATAACGATGTAAGAAAATTAGATTCTTGGTTTGAAATCACTGCCGAGGAAGTTGATAATGTATTGCTGTTTCTGTTTAAACAGGTTCTGCTGATTAAGTATGGGCAAAGGATAAACCCGGCATGCGGACGCAGATCCGTATGTTTGAACACCCTCCCCTTGAAATTAATTAAATCAAATTTGCAGTGGGTATGCAGGGCTGTCTTTGGCAGCCAAGGTTCTAGCTGTTTTTCAGTTGGGTGTGATTCTCTCTTGGTTTATCAATTCTAGCTGGATATGCCACTGGCTCAGATTTATAAGCGTATAAGTTAGTGATTGTGGGACTTTGCTTTTAAAAGCACAATTTCAGAGGGGTAGGAAAAGAAAAGCAAGGACAGTGTGAGTGAGAGAATGGTTGTCAAGACGCCATGTGTATGGACATTTTGACCAGTTATTGACTGAAAACTAGAAATAACAGTTTCTAGGGAGAATTGACAGCAAATGGTTTCTGAAAGCTCTAACTCACATTATTGCAATACTCTCTTTGTAAAGAGACTCTTTTTCAACCCTTATGAGATAAATTATCAATAATAGTGTGTCATTTGTTTCACCGTGCAGTGTGAAAGGAGGACAGTACGAAGTTACTAAAAACTTACTATAACAAGTGAGTTTGAAAAGAGTACATCTCACAATTTAATGTATTCCCAAATTTAGTTTCAATTAATTGTTATTATGAGGAAGGTGGCTGAATAATTGACAACTTTACAAAAGCGAATTCAGAGAAAAACTGAGAAAACACATTAAATGGGGGAAATCTGTTAAATTCTCAAACAAACATTTCAAAAACGTCAAATCATGAAAGGTATCCTGCTCAACAACGCTGTAAAAGCAATTAAACTGTTAAAAGTACATTTATTTAAGCAAATACAGGTGTCAAAGTCAGAAACTGTTCACAAGCTCAAAAATATGAGCGTTGTCCATTACATTATACTTAATAAGCGCTATCAATTGATGATTTTTAACAATAATGAGAGATTTAAAGCATTGGGAGCCAAAAATTCCAAAAATTTGAACACGTGATCTTGATGGCAAAATTTCATGTCAATTCTATAATGATGTGAAAGATTTACCCCTAACATGTATTTCAAGACGATTCCGGAAGTGCCTCGTCCATAAATTGCGCATTCACTATCTTTAGTAAATAAAGCTAGATTGGATCAAAGATATTTTTGTTAACATTATCAATATTACCTCCCAGAATTTGTGTCTGTTAACTCGATGATAGACAGGTTGATTTTTTGAAGCCAGTACCTTTTTGAATAATTGCATGTGCAATCAAACGTAGTGCTCGGCTCTGGACTGCCCTGAGAACGGATCGAGCTTACAATAGATACTCAAATACAAAGAGAAAATGTTTTCCCTCTTTTAATATTCATATGAAACAAGATAGATTTCTCACCTTTATTTTTGGAACAGTCCTCTGTTTGTTGTATAGTGTATTGTGCAGATTCTGCTGATGTAAACAAAAAATTACCGGTAAAAGGAAATGACTTGTAATGAGTACTTCATAGATTTCCTAAACAATTTCTATTATTGTGGAAATTAAAGGTTTGAATATATTATTATCATGTACTTGATGTTATAATTCTCTTGTATCTCTGCTTCACAAAAAAAGATTCATTTGAACTTTGACCTAAATCTTCTAACAGCGTTTAATATTGTGAATCCTAAGGAAAATTTGATATTTTTGTGTTGTTGATTGTTTTTTAAAACTACTACCAGCCCTGACAACACTACGCTTGTTTACTTTTCATTCGGTACTAACAAAAAATCATTATTCTGAGTAAATATGATTTATGCAAATTATCATGCGTGCATATTTCTTGTTTTTAGGCAAGTTAATTTTCTTTAGACAGGAATAACACGCTTCTGTTTACTGCTTTGAATAAAAAAATGTACCAACACATGTATTGCTCGTCTTTTGATATCGCTAAAAGCGGGGTGGCAAAGCAATTCAATTGTGTATTTTGTGATTAAAGCATCATATTTGGCACAGAGGTAGATTAACAGAGCAATGTGCCATTTATTTGCCATGTTATATGAATTAGAATCTAGGTTCAGAGACAGTACATTCCAAATTACCATTGACTTCCACGTTTCCTTTTTCTTCCTATTAGAGATAATGGCTACCATAAGCATGGAGGAACGTTCTTGGTTGGAAATTGACAATAATGATTTTGAAAACAAAGCATGTTTAATACACGGAAAAGGTACCCCGAAGGAGTCATTTTGAAACATACGCACAGCGAGCCCCAAGGGCCAAATTTGAGGTGTCTCAACATTGAGTTTTGCTTCAAAAATGTTGGACTACCTGTGTGCCAAAGTTGGTGCTTTTATCACAAGATGCACAATTGGGCTTAAATTCAACGTTATGCCGCCCCACTATCATGTCCATGATCTGCTTTGAAACTTTTGAGTACTGGTAGTGAAAAAAATGTTATTTTTTATTGTAATTCAGATTCTCTTTTTGTTTCTGTATGAAACGCATTATTGAACCATTGTATAAAAAGTATCTCTTACCGGGTATGGGAGTGCTTAGATATTGGTCAGCCAGGTTAACAAATCCAGCTTCTAATAGTGCCGACCTCAATGCCGCCTTTTCAGTCGAACGTGGTTGTCCCTTTCGCCACATCCTGAGCAAATCCAATGTTCCCATATGATTCCCTCCCTGCTTGTCGTTTTCTGCAATCTTGCAACCAATTTCTCCAGGCCCAAATCCCAAGGCTTTTCCAAGATCATCGATGTCTGAATTTTTGTACAGGGCCTTGGCTATCTCCTTCAATATGTCGTCGAACTCAACATTGGCCACTGAGCTCATTCTGTATTTAGAATATATAGGTAGGAAAGGAAACTGTGTTGATTAAATGTAATCATGACATAGTTAAATTGCAACATCAACAACATCAGCAAAAGTCGCTGCAGCTGCTTGTGAAACATGTCTCTTCCACCTCTAGTAAGCCTGCCTTTTTGAAAGCAGCTCTAAGAATTGGAAGTTGCTTGGATGGTTTGATTATCTCTGCCCAGTTCTGAAGCATCATCACGTTACCATTACTTGTCTTTCTACAATGGTACCATCCAAACTATGACTCAAGAATATTTATGAAATATAATAAACACCTATTTCTGATGAGCAAGATACAACTGTACATGATCACATCTACTTTTGAAAAACAAACTCAAATGGTTGGATTACATAATACTTCATTGCCTTGTTCACGCATTAGGCTATTGAAATTGTCCGCGGTTGATATTTAGAAAGTAATCCTGTTGTACACAGCTATGTTATTAGAAAGACCCTCTATAGTTCATAACACTTGCAGATTGGGAGGAGGAGGCACATGCAAATAGCTACATGTAATACCCCCTCTCCCTCCATATTACAACCACCCACAAATGTCCCTCTTCAACATTTTGAAACGAAAGGCACATGAGAACTGTTCTTTTCATTGTTTTGTTTGCCTGCTCTTCAGATTTTGTGTGTATCCCTCCCTCAAATCCTGGATCCTATGGCACTACATGCATGTACATCCAATGATGAAAGTGGAGGTGTTATGGTGGATCATTAACACAACTCTTAATCCAAGGGTTAGGGTTCGAATCCTAGCCTCGTACTTGTACATGTACTAAGTTTTACTAACATAAAAAAGAAATGAAAAATGAAAAATTCGCCAACCCACCCCTACTCCAGAAAAGCAATCAAGGGGAACCAAACAACTTTTTTTTTTTTTTTTTTTTTTTTTGGGGGGGGGGGGGGCCTTATACATGTATCACAGTGCACAGTGGACATATACTAAAGTTCAGCTAAACATGTCTGTACCTTTTACTTGGTGTGTCATCACTCTGGGGTTCAGTCATCTCTTCGGTTCGTGGTCTCTTTGCCATCATGAATGGTATTCAGGCTGAGGAGAAATGTCAACATATAAATAGAGATACATATATATGAAAATAATCACAAACGCCATATGGCAGTTCACAGTTTACCTAGGGCATATATATATATGTATACAGTATATCTGTAAAATTCTAGACAATTTTAAATTTTCAGAGACTTTGTTAACTCACATGCGCTGGTCACTGTACGTGACAAACAGACAAGGTATTTTGAAACACACATTGCTTCACCAACAAAAAAATGTATCGGGTGATCAATTTATATTACTGCTTAGAATATCTTAGATATTTTTGAGAAAGTTGCAAATTGTGTACAAGATCTGGCGCTCGTGTACTTTCGTATCCATTTTTTACCTGTAACTCCGACATGGAGATACTCTACTAAAACATACCAATAAATCAATTTATCACAGTTTTTCCTTCATAATCATTTTGCCTTGCACGTAGACTAGAAGGGATGAGATTTAGATGGCGTCATGCGCAGCGAGAGTTTAAAATACGGCTGCAAGTTTTTCAACATGGATGTCGATTTTGACCCATACCCTGTAAAGGGACCATTCAACGGATTATATAGTCAACAACTTTGGTAAGTGGACCCGATGTAGATTAGCCTAGGCCTAATATTGGAGTATAAATGCGTCTGATATGCATCCGCTAAAATATAGTATTCGGGCATAAGTTTGGGGAAAGAGTTCCATTATGTACCCCGCTAAATATTATTACACTTTCTTTCTATTATTGTCTCATTGTCTAACCCTAACCCTAGCCCTAGTTTCCCATGTGTTATATATAATATTATTATTAGGTATATCACTGTGAAACATATCAATATATTTGTTTTTAGTTTTAGTTGGGGGTACGGAACTCTATAGCCAAGTTTGATGGTCAGATCCGTTCCACCGAGTTTGCACAGGAGTGCCTAAGGTTGGCTTCTGTCTCTAAAGAGAGGAGCCGACCTTACCCAAATCAGAGGCGAACGAACGAAAGAGACAGAAATTTTGGTCTACACTCAGCCCAACAGCATTCATTCAAATTCTCTGGTAATTTAAAGGTAAAATGAAATGTACACAAAACAAACAACAATTTACAATAATGTGTCAACAATAGAAGTAGGGAGTCCAATACCAAAATCTAACATTTTATTTACTCATTTCTCAACGTTAGAACTATTTTTAAAAGAAAGCAATTATCTTAACTAAGACAACCCATCTGCTGACTCCAGAAATGTCATTAAATAGGAAATATCCAGCTCCAAAGTTGGGGATTCCTTATAGGCTAATCCGTCTGTAAGAGCCTTGAAAAAAATAATTTCATGGTCGATATTTTACGTTCATAATTAGACAGGCCCGAGGGGATGGGCATGTCATTGCCGGGACGCGATATTTTTTTATGCGGCACAGATTGGGTTTTTTTTTTAAAGGGGTATTGATTTACAGACTAATACTGGTCGTGTGCGTACTAGACGGTATAAGTAGTAGAGGTCTGTTTTTAATAGTGTTACATGTAATCCACTACCGCATGGAAAATCGTTACATCAACAATTAAAATCAAATTGGAAATCTGAAGAGGAGGCAGCACGTCAATAAGGAGAACATCACAATAATTAGTCAATAAAACTTAACTAACTTAAACGAAGAGGAATGTTATCTAAACACATAGTTCGCGATGGATATACAAACTTCTTCGCAGCGCTAGCGAACATGACTAGTCTCACGTACGTGCAGACACTATTCAGAAGGGAAAGAACGTACTTCCCATAGGTTTAACACGCGCCATGCCCCAATCTGTGCCGCATAAAAAAATAACGCTGCCGGGACAAAGTCCAAAATTACATTTAAACTTTGCGCATAAGTACAGTCACTCGTCACTCGTTAGCATTGGTAAACTTTGGAGCGTTTGAGACTGTGTACTAAATTTTATTGAAATACCCTACAAAGAGATTGTGTAAACTGACTTGCTTCTGATACTCTACTCACAAAACATTTATGAAAAACAGTGATGAACAAAAAAGTAACGTTGATGATTATATTAGTCATATTTTCCATTGAAAAACTGTACCATCTTTTTTTCTTCAAAAACTGCCTTGTTTTGTTACGATCAACATATAAACCTTTCAGCTAGAACATGATAACCATGGCGTGCAAGAAAGAGACTATATACCACACAGTGCTGTTTTGAATACCTCTTTTGTCTTCAGGTAAACAATCTATGCAGATGATGAGGAAGATGATGCAAAAGATAAAGACATTTTTAGCATATTTACAAGTACTGTATAATGTTTGAAATAACCTTCGTATTCCTTGGATGTATATACCTGATGAGTCTTTTCCCCAAAACCCTAAATGCTGCTTGTAAGTATTGGCTTGCATGGTGATGTAGATATACAGTAGGCTTGCTGATGCACCATGTGACTCCTCAATCCTCCCTCTCACTCACTTGGTGCATCCGCAAGCCTACTGTAAACCCTAAATGTACGGTTTCAAAATGCAATGTAGTATTGATGATAATTGATGATATATGTTTGGTATGCATTATTTGATATTTTAAATGTATGTTTACCTCATTTTTGTTTATTGTTGTAAAGAACTTATTGGCATGCACCCAGTGGATTTTCATCATATGTTTGATCTTCTTATTTAACACAAGATCAAACACATTATCATAATCTACAGAGTGCAACCAAACCATTCTTAACAATTGAAATTTCTTTCAGGAAGCCTAACTATAAAAGCTTGAGACCGTTTACTTCCTCTCCCTGCCAAATAATTCGAACAAAAGAGTCAACCTAGGGGAATCAACTGTTAAACAATTTTTTCTTCTTCTACTGAGCACACCCCCTGTGAAAGTTGTAAGTTTGTATTTGCCAGTTAAAGGTAAATACCAGTTATGGTCATGCGATTGCATTGTGAAAGAAACGTTGTGGAATCGATCAGAAAAGGTTGATCATCTAGCATCTAGCATCTGCAAGGTTCTGGAATCATCAAAATGATAAGAAATTTGGCCCATTCTTAGTAAAGTTACAACCACTATACACAGAAAGATGTATATGGGACTACCCTATATCTCTCACAGTCCATGAGAGAAACAAATTTACCAAATATATGAATTAGTAGGCGGTTTCCCGGCAAATTTTTTATCATCATGTATTAGTCAAACACATTCTTTCACATGATTGGTAATGAGAGCTTCCATTTCATTTTTTGAAATTGGGGCGTTTCCAATACTGGTCTTTACCTTTAAAGTCAATTTATTTAGTATGTATTGATTTGGCTTGACATTACCATTATAGAACTACAGAGGGCGTTTTGTCAAAGATTACTTTGACAGTTCTTAAGTTTTTCTAGTTTGAAGGTCAAAAACAGGTTTGGCGCCACCTGTTGTTGGCTGATTTGCAATGATCATGTTTGCAACATGTTTTCTGTTTTGTGAGGAAAATCTGTGGTTTTCTGGAGCATCCTTTGTTCCTGAAAACTGTTTCTACAGTATTATGGAGGCATAGTGGTTAGTTAAAACACATATTTGAACATTATGAAATCAATGTATAAAAGGTAGTTTTAAAGTTGTTACATGGTATGAAACATACACAGTAGCAGCAGTAATTTGTATAGCAAATGTATAACCTGTGTAAACTGTGTACTAACACATATGATAGTACAATTACCTTACCGGAGATATCTATTGAATATCTTATATGTCATTACATCTATAATTGATGTTTATTTTTACTTAAAGTTGAAAGAAATAGTCAAGTAAAATGTTTGATGCAGAATAAAACATTCTATGGTGAAAATGGATGAGAAATGTTAGCATATTTGTGTGAATGACAGGTCAAGGTTATGACTTTGTTATTGTGTTCCTTGACTATGATGAAGTCATTCAAGCTCACTAAATATAGTCACATTTTGAGTTGAAAACGTGTTAATTCTGATTTAGACATGATAAAGATGATATAAGTTTAATTGTGTGTTAGCTGTGACATTCTATATGAAATTCCAGAGATTGGTCATGTGTCTGACTTATAATTATAAGCTTTACAAGCAAACATGGAAAGGAGTTAAACACTGAATTCAGTAGTATGCTATTTAAAATAGCTGCTATAATATTGTGAAACTTATATTCATGAGCACGTACTTGTTATGCATTCCTGTTATGCTTTATCATGTACAGTTTTCACGGAGTGAAGGGAAGAAGAACGGAATAGAGCTGTGGAAGGAGTAAAGATAACAGATTTGTTCATCAAAGACAGAGTGCATCCCCCTTGATGGTTATGACTTTGAAATAAACTGACACTCCCATAAAAACCCGAGTCGTTGTAATTATTCAGCGTTTCCCCTCACTAAGAGGCACATCCCCCCCCCCCCCCCTTGGGCCAAAAAAAGAGAACACAAATTGATGAAGTGTACGCGCCTGCACATGCACATTACATGTACATACTCCGTGGCAAAAAGGAAATAAGCGAGGGAGAGGGCAATGACAAAAGAGAAAGAGGGGGGGGGGGTAGCCTATGACCCTGGTTTAAATTCAATTATTTTTAATTTATTAGACCCAGTACTGATGATCATAATTGTATCTACCATGTGATTGCCATGTGTACGCCATACCGAATAGCACCTCAATTTTGTTTATTATTGTAAAGAACTTATTAGCTTGCACCCAGTAGATTTTCATCATGTGTTTGATCTGGTTATTGAAAACAATATCAAACACATCATCATAATCTACAGAGTGCAACCAAAATTTCTTAACAACAATTGAAATTTCTTTCAGGAAGCCTAACAATGAAAGCTGTTTTTTATTCAAAGAGCATCGTAGAGACGATGAACAAATGAGAATAATAATACAACGTTGTTTAGCGTGAGACCGTTCACTTCTTTTTCTCCCCGCCGAATAATCCGAACAAAAGAATCAAGGGAGGGTAATCAACTGTTAGACGATTTTATCATGAGTTCTTGAAATATTAATTAATACTGCTGGTGGTCCTAGTATTATTGAAGAGCAGCAAAGGCGAACGTTTGTTGCTACAATTTAGAAATCGTTGCTTGGACTGCTTTTTCCTCAAACTTACCATGATATCAAGCTACATAGAACTATGATCATTCGAACTTGAATGAATAAAACATCTTGTAGTTCGAGTTATTTTATCTGTACATCAAATACACATAACGCTTTTCCATATTTTGGGAATTCCATTCACGAGAGAAAAATCCTGTATGTTTTACGGGCGCGGCTACGAGCCGTCACTTCGTGAATACAAAATCACAGCGCGTCCTTGAATTTCGTGTTTTCACGAAGTGAAGGTTAAGTTTACAGCTCATTTCCCCCAAATATATAAGAAATTACGGAAATAATTAAACATAGAACTAAACCTGAGATATGTTCAATCCCAGGATATAACATTGAATTGCCCTTGATACATTAAAGAGGTTGAGATTATAGTTTGAAAGTTTGAAAGCGATTTATTCAAAACTTTCTTTTAATTGCGCACTCATCCGTCACTTCGTGGAAATAGGGACAAATTTAAAAAAACGTCAAAGCTTCCGCGCGGGGGGGGGGGGGAACTGAATTCAAACAAGGATTAAGAGTCGAAAATAGTACAACAAATCGTCTTCTTTCTCTAATAATTAAATGAAACATCATAGCTTCTGCGCTTCGCGCGGGAAAGGGGGGGAACTGAATTCAGACGAGGACACGGTACAACGAATGGTCTTCTTTCGCTAATAATTTAATGAAACGGCATAGCTTCTGCGCTTTGCGCGGGGGGAGGGGCGAAACAAGAAGTTAAGAGTCAAGAACGGTACAACGAATCGTCTTCTTTCTCTAATAATTTGATGAAGTGTCATAGCTTCCGTGCTTCGCGCGGGAGGGAGGAAACTGAAAAATCACTTAGTTCCTTGCCCTGGGTGTATAGGGTTAAATTTGTAAACATTGGGACATTGGCATTAATATATTTGTTGGTAATTGGTGGCCTCTACACCCCCCCCCCCCCTCTTCCTCCACTGAAAATGGTCTAGCGACGCCCCTGATAACAACATATACACTCGAGATAATTTTTCAAGTACTACTGGTGAAGTACCAGACCACCGTCTTTGTGCATTGTACAGGGGCAACGAAGCATAATTATACAATGTTACGCGACGTGACAGATCAATTTTCTCTAACTTCTAATCAATCAGAAGGCCTCATTTTTTACCAGGACGTGCTGGTGGACTAACTAGTTGCCCAAGACCCATAGTAATGACACCATGCACTGTAATTTGGTTATACACTGTAGCAGGCAAGGAGTGTTGGGAGTTCTGATATGGTTGTCATGGTGATGTTGAGAAGGATATTTGCTTTATGTAGTGCATTTGATATACACTTGGGGCATTTTATGCAAAATGTCAAAGCTTTTGAAATTACTTAGTTGGTTGCTGAAAAGAAACTCTTCAGATATTTTATGTTGATATTAATGGTCAAGATCATTAAATAGGTTAAAGGTGATTAGTTATTTAAAGGTGTGAAGAAAAAAAGGTCACTTGAACAGTATAAGAAGTTGAAGAATTTAAAGGAACAATGATTCATTGCAAGTAGCAATTGTGGATAAACTTAATTTGAAATGTTTCAAATGAACAAAGTATTGTTAAATGTTCAGAAAGGCTTCTCATTTAAGAGGGCCGGAATGTGGAGTACAGGATGACGTTTTTCTTGAAGCCGATGCTTGTGATGTCACAGGCGTCGCTTTGTAGAAAGTGTATGGATTAGGTCGCTTGAGGGCGTACTGGATTTTGTGTGTTACTGATTTTCCACGTCATGGGATAGTTGCCTCCCAGAGTTGCCTAAGTTTTCGTTTAATTTTGTGATACAAGCCCAATGATGTAAGTAGAAATGAATATGTTATCTTGAAGTTTATGAGTTATATTGTCTTTACAGCTAGATCGCTTAATGAAATATGATGTTTATGACACTAATTTGAGATGATGAAATATGACATGAATGAGTCGTTCAAGTGAAAGATTGTACACGTGTATGTAGGTTACGTAATTGTCGTGCACGGTAGTGCGTCTAAATGTACATGTACGTAGTAGTATAATGATATGACCTTGAAGAATGACAAAGTCACCGTCGGTGCGTCATTAATTGTTGCATGTATTTACCGTAGTCAGATATATAGTGAAGAAAGCATTGTTTGTTTTCCTTTGTTATGATAACAGATAGTTATTAGGATTTGATACATGATATGTTATTTTCATGTCTGTTTATGCAAGTTGACTTATTATTGTTTATCCTTTTATTAAATCGCAGATTGAACCTTGCCTGCTACAGTGTATAACCAAATTACAGTGCATGGTGTCATTACTATGGGTCTTGGGCAACTAGTTAGTTCGCCAAATCGTCCACCACATATACACTCGAGATAATTTTTCAAGTACTACTGGTGAAGTACCAGACCACCGTCTTTGTGCATTGTACAGGGGCAACGAAGCATAATTATACAATGTTACGCGACGTGACAGATCAATTTTCTCTAACTTCTAATCAATCAGAAGGCCTCATTTTTTACCAGGACGTGCTGATGGACATTAATGCGCCAAATGTGGTTCTCATATTGCAAAAGATCACTACTCTTGGAGGGGTTGGAAAGAGCTATTAAACATCATATTACTCCAGGAATTAGTGCCTGAAAATGCACCTAATATGTGGTTCTAAAGTTGCAAATGATTCCTATTCAGGGAGGGGGTTCTGACCCCTTCCCAGACCCACCCCCGCTCCCTCCCTGCTGATGCTTAGCTCTGTCGCTTTGCTCTATAGTTTTCATATATTTCACCTCATGCGATTTTGTTGGAATTACTGGAAGCCTGACTACCTGATTGCACTCAGCTCAACAGCATTCTTCCAGATTCTTGGGTAATTAAAGGTAAAATGAAATGTACACAAAACTAATTACGATTTACAAGAATGATGTGTCAACCAGGCGCGTACGCAGGGGGGGGGGGGGGGGGAGGGGAGGGGGGTTTGGGGTTAACCCCCCCCCCTTGAGTTTTTTTTATGTGTATGTTTTGTGTATGTTTTGGGGGACCCCCCCCCCCCCCCCCCCTCTTTTAATTTTTGTTTTGTTTTTGTGTCTTTTGTTTGATTTTAAAAAAAAAATAAAAAATTATGTCAATGGCTGACCTAACCCCCCCCCCAATGGAACAAAATGTCAAATTTTCAAATTTCGAGACCCCCCCCCCCCCCTGCTTATTCAGCGACTGGCTGAGTTGTTGCGAAATTTTGGACCCGATTTAAAAAAAACCTCCCCCCCCCCTGAACAAATCCTGCGTACGCCACTGGAGTCAACAATAGAAGGTTGACAAATATGTAAGCAAGCATAAGAACCATCAGCTAGCATTGCCATTATTGACAAACATTAGTTAACAAATGTTAGCATGGTAGATTTCCCATACTTACAAGATGGTAATTTGCGGTACCTACATGTATATTACATTGCTTTTTCGAAACCACGCGTTCGTCCGCAGGCACAAGCAAGCTTGTGAATTGTGTGTACTACAAGTAGTACTTATACCGTACACGGTCTACAGTACTGGGTGGTGGTGGGATTTAGAAGGAAACAAATTTTGTGAAATCATGTCAAGTAAGTACCGGGTAAGTACGGTATATTTAATTTATAGTCTCACCTCTCTGGTGAAATGCAGCGCTACTAACTGTGCGGATCAGATTGGGGCGAATGGTGCAGGTTTCCTGTTTCACGAAAGTGTCATTTCTGTCTACAACTTGGCCTTTGGCAGCTTGAATGATGGAAGTCAAGATTAGTGATCGTGATAATACGAGCCGTAATCCCGCACACCGCCCGTATCGTGCGGGCGAGCGCTTAATTACCTCACGGGAATCCCCTAAAATGTTATGTGCAAATACGCACTTATGACGAGCGGAACAGTTTTAACCAATCAGAACGCAGGAGACCATGCATCCATACATCTACAGAAAGAAAAATCCAGCGAAAATGTTCTTGTTTCGTTCAGGGATAAACACCTCCCTGGTTCGTTAGAGAATTTTTCATGGGATTTTTTTCACGGGATAATTCTTTATCTAGATTACTAAATTGTCTAGATCACTATTTTCTAGATAATTGGCCTCTTATTGGCCTTATTTGTATTTATAGATGTATTGACAAAACATATAGGCATCTTCTGAACTCCCTTTATAAATCAAATCAAAACTAGACATATAATACTTGTTTGGAACAAGTATAGGTGGGCTGGTCAACTTAAATTTGAGACAAAATAGAGCAAAAATAAGCGAGATACTGCTTAAAAATTCTTAAAAAACAATATCATGTAGTTTCATGACGTGAACGAAATTCACCTTCTATAGGGATAAGGCAAATTATGAAGGCCTTTTGACATGAGGCCTTTAATCGAGATTTTCACTATGATGACGTCATCAAAATGAAAAATGGTTATTTTAAAGCTTGTAGAGAATTGTCTTAGCTACAACATATCGAAATTTTGAAGAAAATTGATCAATATTTACAGAGATACAATCAATTTTCCATAAATATGCTGACGTCATAATATGCAAATTCGTATTTTGATTTCCAAGGCCATTGTGATGATGTCACGATACACTTAATGGCCAAATGAGACATGAAATCATATCTCCGACTCATACTCTATCTAAATATGAAAAAAAATTGAGGATCCCGGTGCATTCCAAAGAGCTATAATGGATTTTGTATAGGCATGTTTTTGCCCATATATGCTATGTATTATAAGAGCTCACGCGCACTGACATTTATCTTGAATTGACGCTCATCTTGTTATTAATGGTCATAAAGAGTTAAAAATGGTATCAAATTCCTTGAAAAAATATAAGAAATATCATGAAAGCAAAAAAAATGGCGATTCTATGTTTTGTAATGGTGTTACGCGCGAAAACGCGCGCGCATGCGCGTGTGCGCGATTTTTTATAAAATGCTTAAAATGACCTGAAACGTATGCAAAATAAATTTAAGACGATTTTGAGCATTTCAAAATTTTGCGCGCGCACTGACGCGCGCACGTACGCGCACGCGCGCGTTTTTTGACCTGAAATTGACCGGACTGATATTGACCTTGATCATGATAAATATGAATGTGAAATTACTTTTAGTTATGAAGATATGATCATGAGTTGATTTTCAGAAAATTTCACAAAATGGCGCCTAGATGACGTCATCAATAAAGGTCAAGGTTGAAAACTTTGCTGTGCCTTGTTCATATGCCTATACATATGTGTACCAAATTTTAAGATATTTGACTGAGCCATTTTCAAATTATCTTGCACACAAAAAAGTGGGTCGAAATAAGAAAAATAAACTAGATTTGTAATACTTGTTTGGTACAAGTATAGGTGGGCTGGTCCAGCTAACATTTTAGACAAAATGAAGGGCACATTTGAGATAGCTAATTGTCTCAGCTACATCATACTCGAAGTTCAGCGTAAATGAAGCTAAAATGACGTAGATGTTGCCCGCGAAAGACGGGAATGTAGAATCGAGTTTTGAGAAAAAGTCATGTCCCATAGAGAATACACGCAAAATGTGAAAAATTGACATGCCTCCTTTAATCGCAAAAATACGCCATGATACCTTTGTCAAAATGAAGAATAGTACTGACTGCATTTGTAGAAATTTGTCTCAGCTAGAACATATTAAAATTTGGAAGAAAATTGATCAATATTTACAGAGATACAATCAATTTTCCATAAATATGCTGACGTCATAATATGCAAATTGGAATTTTGAGTTCGGAGGCCATTATGATGACGTCATGAGTTAATTGAGGGTCAAATGAGACATGAAACAATATTTCCGAATCATACTCTTTTAAAATATGAAAACAAATTGGGGTCACCTTGCATCCTAAAGAGCTACAATGGATTTTGTATAGGCGTGTTTTTGCCCATATATGCTATGTATTACAAGAGCTCGCGCGCATGGAGATTTATGTTAAACGGTCGATCATTCCGTTATTAATAGTCATAAAGAGACAAACATGGTATCATTATGTTTGTAAATATATGTGGTATATTATGAAAGAAAAAAAAAAGGCAATTCAATGTTGTGCAAAAGTTTTACGCGCGAAAACGCGCGCGCATGCTCGTACGCGCGATTTTTTATAAAATGCTTAGAATGGCCTAAAACGTATGCAAAATGATTTTCAGACGATTTTGAGCATTTCAAAATTTTGCGCGCGCATTGACGCGCGTACGTACGCGCACGCGCGCGTTATTTGACCTTTTATTGACCGGACGGATATTGACCTTGATCATGATAAATATGAACGAGAAATACCTTTTGGTTATGAAGATATGATCATGAGTTGATTTTCGTAAAATTTTACAAAATGGCGCCTAGATGACGTCATCAGTGAAGGTCAATGTTGAAAACGTTATTGTGCTTTGTACATATGTCTATACATATGTGTGCCAAATTTCTAGGCATTTGATTGAGCCATTTCCAAGTTATCTTGTTCACAAAAAAGTGGTTAGAAATAAGAAAAATATACTAGATTTGTAATACTTGTTTGGAACAAGTATAGGTGGGCTGATCCAACAAAAAATTGAGACAAAACTAGAAATTTAATTCGTCATGGGGACGAATTAGGTGGTCTGTCTTCAAGTCTTATGAGAGATTATAATATTTACTATATTGAGAAAGGGAGAAGTTATATAGACATGTAAACAATGATGATCATCATGATGATCATCATGATGATGATCTTGATAGTAATGGTGATGACGATGATGATGATGATGATGATCATGATGATGTTGATGATTATCATCAACAGACCACGATGACATCAGACTGAACAAAATTAGAGAACATTTAGATAGCGTATAGTCTCAGCTACAACATACTCAAAAATCAACAAAAACCAAGCCGAAATAACGGCGATATTGCTCGCAAAAAGACAAGAATGTAGAATCCAGATTTGAGAAAAAGTCATCTCCCATAAGGATTACACGCCAAAAGTAATGTATCTAGTGATAATAGGGTAATAATAAAGTAAATATGGTTGTTTATTACATTATTTGCGATTGTACGTTTTTAAATATTCAAAGGAGATGGTAGAGTGAAAGGTCAAAAAGAAAAAAAAGTGAAGAAAAAAATTGTTGGAGACGCCCGGACTCGAACCAGGGACCTCGAGGTCGTTACCGATATACCAAAACATTTCCCATAAAGATTACACGTAAACGGAAAATGGAATTATCAAATCCCACTTTGTAAGTGAAATATGAGCATGATCTCGGCATCTGATCGAAAAATAAAGGGCACACTTGTGATAGCTTATTTTCTCAGCTACAACATACTCAAAGCTCAGCGTAAACAAAGATAAAACGACGGAGATATTGCTCGCGAAAGACGAGAATGTAGAATCCAGTTTTGAGAAAAAATCATGTCCCTTAGAGAATACACGCAAAATGTGAAAATTGACATGCCCCCTTTAATCGCAAATTACGCCATGATCCATTTGTCAAAATTAACAATTGTTACGACTTCATTTGTAGAAAATTGTCTCAGCTAGAACATTTCAAAATTTAGAAGAAAATCAATCACTATTTACAGAGATACAATCAATTTTCCAAAAATATGCTGACGTCATAATATGCAAATTGAAATTTTGAGTTCGGAGGCAATTATGATGACGTCATGAGTTAATTGAAGGTCAAATGTGACATGAAACAATATCTCCGACTCATACTCTATCAAAATATGAAAACAAATTGGGGTCACCTTGCATCCTAAAGAGCTACAATGGATTTTGTATAGGCATGTTTTTGCCCATATATGCTATGTATTACAAGAGCTCGCGCGCACCGAGATTTATGTTAAACGGTCGATCATTCCGTTATTAATAGTCATAAAGAGACAAACATGGTATCAATTTGTTTGTAAATATATGTGGAATATTATAAAAGAAAAAAAATGGCGATTCTATGTTATGTAATAGTTTTACGCGCGAAAACGCGCGCGCATGGGCGTGTGCGCGATTTTTTATAAAATGCTTAGAATGGCCTAAAACGTATGCAAAATGATTTTGAGACGATTTTGAGCATTTCAAAATTTTGCGCGCGCATTATTTGAGCTGAAATTAACCGGACGGATATTGACCTTAATCATGATAAATATGAATGAGAATTACCTTTTGGTTATGAAGATATGATCATGAGTTGATTTTCGTAAAATTTTACAAAATGGCGCCTAGATGACGTCATCAGTCAAGTTCAAGGTTGAAAACATTTCTGTGCTTTGTTCATATGTCTTTACATATATGTGCTTAATTTCAAGGATTTTGATTGAGCCATTTTCGTGTTATCTTGTTCACAAAAAAGTGGTTAGAAATAAGAAAAATATTTAATAATAAATAAATAAAGGCAATTCTAACGAAATTATAAGGTGGTCTGTACGATATACAGCCCACCTGATAATAAAGGCAATTTTAACAAAATTATAAGGTGGTCTGTATTAGATACAGCCCACCTAATTAAATCAATTGTTTTTAAGACTGTGATCATAACTTGTACCATATTAGTATTATTATCATTCTTTCTAATGTTGTTGATCGAGAGAGAGACAGAGATAAAACATAGAGAGAGTTTGGGATATACAGTCGGATGTAGGGGAGAGGGGGAAATATTTTATTTATGCATTACATTACAATTTATCTCGAGAGAGAATGTAAATGACCGCACCTCCTCTCTGTCTCTCTCTCTCTCTCTCTTTCTCTCTTGGAATGTGTAGA